TTTCCCAGTTTACATAGATTCTTGTATTAAGACCTTCATGTGAAAATCTTCCCCAGTTTACATAGATTCTTGTATTAAGACCTTCATGTGAAAATCTTCCCTTGTATTAAGACCTTCATGTGAAAATCTTCCCTTGTATTAAGACCTTCATGTGAAAATCTTCCCTTGTATTAAGACCTTCATGTGAAAATCTTCCCTTGTATTAAGACCTTCATGTGAAAATCTTTCCCAGTAGTTCACATGATTCTTGTATTAAGACCTTCATGTGAAAATCTTCCCTTGTATTAAGACCTTCATGTGAAAATCTTCTCTTGTATTAAGACCTTCATGTGAAAATCTTCCAAGCAGTTCACATAGATTCTTGTATTAAGACCTTCATGTGAAAATCTTCCCTTGTATTAAGACCTTCATGTGAAAATCTTCCAAGCAGTCCACATAGATTCTTGTATTAAGACCTTCATGTGAAAATCTTTCCCAGTTCACATAGATTCTTGTATTAAGACCTTCATTTGAAAATCTTTCCCAGTTCACATAGATTCTTGTATTAAGACCTTCATGTGAAAATCTTCCCCATTTTACATAGATTCTTGTATTAAGACCTTCATGTGAAAATCTTCCCTTGTATTAAGACCTTCATGTGAAAATCTTCCCTTGTATTAAGACCTTCATGTGAAAATCTTCCCTTGTATTAAGACCTTCATGTGAAAATCTTCCCTTGTATTAAGACCTTCATGTGAAAATCTTTCCCAGTAGTTCACATGATTCTTGTATTAAGACCTTCATGTGAAAATCTTCCCTTGTATTAGGACCTTCATGTGAAAATCTTCCCTTGTTTTAAGACCTTCATGTGAAAATCTTCCCTTGTATTAAGACCTTCATGTGAAAATTTTCCCTTGTATTAAGACCTTCATGTGAAAATCTTCCCTTGTTTTAAGACCTTCATGTGAAAATCTTCCCTTGTATTAAGACCTTCATGTGAAAATCTTCCAAGCAGTTCACATAAATTTTTGTATTAAGACCTTCATGTAAAAATCTTTCCCAGTTCACATAGATTCTTGTATTAAGACCTTCATGTGAAAATCTTTCCCAGTTCACATAGATTCTTGTATTAAGACCTTCATGTGAAAATCTTCCCTTGTATTAAGACCTTCATGTGAAAATCTTCCAAGCAGTCCACATAGATTCTTGTATTAAGACCTTCATGTGAAAATCTTTCCCAGTTCACATAGATTCTTGTATTAAGACCTTCATGTGAAAATCTTTCCCAGTTCACATAGATTCTTGTATTAAGACCTTCATGTGAAAATCTTCCCCAGTTCACATAGATTCTTGTATTAAGACCTTCATGTGAAAATCTTCCCTTGTATTAAGACCTTCATGTGAAAATCTTCCCTTGTATTAAGACCTTCATGTGAAAATCTTCCCTTGTATTAAGACCTTCATGTGAAAATCTTCCCTTGTATTAAGACCTTCATGTGAAAATCTTCCAAGCAGTTCACATAGATTCTTGTATTAAGACCTTCATGTGAAAATCTTTCCCAGTTCACATAGATTCTTGTATTAAGACCTTCATGTGAAAATCTTTCCCAGTTCACATAGATTCTTGTATTAAGACCTTCATGTGAAAATCTTCCCTTGTATTAAGACCTTCATGTGAAAATCTTCCAAGCAGTCCACATAGATTCTTGTATTAAGACCTTCATGTGAAAATCTTTCCCAGTTCACATAGATTCTTGTATTAAGACCTTCATGTGAAAATCTTTCCCAGTTCACATAGATTCTTGTATTAAGACCTTCATGTGAAAATCTTCCCCAGTTCACATAGATTCTTGTATTAAGACCTTCATGTGAAAATCTTCCCTTGTATTAAGACCTTCATGTGAAAATCTTCCCTTGTATTAAGACCTTCATGTGAAAATCTTCCCTTGTACTAAGACCTTCATGTGAAAATCTTCCCTTGTACTAAGACCTTCATGTGAAAATCTTCCCTTGTATTAAGACCTTCATGTGAAAATCTTCCCTTGTATTAAGACCTTCATGTGAAAATCTTCCCTTGTATTAAGACCTTCCTGTGAAAATCTTCCCTTGTATTAAGACCTTCATGTGAAAATCTTCCCTTGTATTAAGACCTTCATGTGAAAATCTTCCCTTGTATTAAGACCTTCATGTGAAAATCTTCCCTTGTATTAAGACCTTCATGTGAAAATCTTCCCTTGTATTAAGACCTTCATGTGAAAATCTTTCCCAGTAGTTCACATGATTCTTGTATTAAGACCTTCATGTGAAAATCTTCCCTTGTATTAAGACCTTCTTATGAAAATCTTCCCTTGTATTAAGACCTTCATGTGAAAATCTTCCCTTGTATTAAGACCTTCATGTGAAAATCTTCCAAGCAGTTCACATAGATTCTTGTATTAAGACCTTCAAGTGAAAATCTTTCCCAGTTCACATAGATTCTTGTATTAAGACCTTCATGTGAAAATCTTTCCCAGTTCACATAGATTCTTGTATTAAGACCTTCGTGTGAAAATCTTCCCTTGTATTAAGACCTTCATGTGAAAATTTTCCAAGCAGTCCACATAGATTCTTGTATTAAGACCTTCATGTGAAAATCTTTCCCAGTTCACATAGATTCTTGTATTAAGACCTTCATGTGAAAATCTTTCCCAGTTCACATAGATTCTTGTATTAAGACCTTCATGTGAAAATCTTCCCCAGTTCACATAGATTCTTGTATTAAGACCTTCATGTGAAAATCTTCCCTTGTATTAAGACCTTCATGTGAAAATCTTCCCTTGTATTAAGACCTTCATGTGAAAATCTTCCCTTGTATTAAGACCTTCATGTGAAAATCTTCCCTTGTATTAAGACCTTCATGTGAAAATCTTTCCCAGTAGTTCACATGATTCTTGTATTAAGACCTTCATGTGAAAATCTTCCCTTGTATTAAGACCTTCTTATGAAAATCTTCCCTTGTATTAAGACCTTCATGTAAAAATCTTCCAAGCAGTTCACATAGATTCTTGTATTAAGACCTTCATGTGAAAATCTTCCCTTGTATTAAGACCTTCATGTGAAAATCTTCCAAGCAGTCCACATAGATTCTTGTATTAAGACCTTCATGTGAAAATCTTTCCCAGTTCACATAGATTCTTGTATTAAGACCTTCATGTGAAAATCTTTCCCAGTTCACATAGATTCTTGTATTAAGACCTTCATGTGAAAATCTTCCCCAGTTTACATAGATTCTTGTATTAAGACCTTCATGTGAAAATCTTCCCTTGTATTAAGACCTTCATGTGAAAATCTTCCCTTGTATTAAGACCTTCATGTGAAAATCTTCCCTTGTATTAAGACCTTCATGTGAAAATCTTCCCTTGTATTAAGACCTTCATGTGAAAATCTTCCCTTGTATTAAGACCTTCTTATGAAAATCTTCCCTTGTATTAAGACCTTCATGTGAAAATCTTTCCCAGTTCACATAGATTCTTGTATTAAGACCTTCATGTGAAAATCTTTCCCAGTTCACATAGATTCTTGTATTAAGACCTTCATGTGAAAATCTTCCCTTGTATTAAGACCTTCATATGAAAATCTTCCAAGCAGTCCACATAGATTCTTGTATTAAGACCTTCATGTGAAAATCTTTCCCAGTTCACATAGATTCTTGTATTAAGACCTTCATGTGAAAATCTTTCCCAGTTCACATAGATTCTTGTATTAAGACCTTCATGTAAAAATCTTCCCCATTTTACATAGATTCTTGTATTAAGACCTTTATGTGAAAATCTTCCCTTGTATTAAGACCTTCATGTGAAAATCTTTCCCAGTTCACATAGATTCTTGTATTAAGACCTTCATGTGAAAATCTTCCCTTGTATTAAGACCTTCATGTGAAAATCTTCCAAGCAGTCCACATAGATTCTTGTATTAAGACCTTCATGTGAAAATCTTTCCCAGTTCACATAGATTCTTGTATTAAGACCTTCATGTGAAAATCTTTCCCAGTTCACATAGATTCTTGTATTAAGACCTTCATGTGAAAATCTTCCCCAGTTCACATAGATTCTTGTATTAAGACCTTCATGTGAAAATCTTCCCTTGTATTAAGACCTTCATGTGAAAATCTTCCCTTGTATTAAGACCTTCATGTGAAAATCTTCCCTTGTATTAAGACCTTCATGTGAAAATCTTCCCTTGTACTAAGACCTTCATGTGAAAATCTTCCCTTGTACTAAGACCTTCATGTGAAAATCTTCCCTTGTATTAAGACCTTCATGTGAAAATCTTCCCTTGTATTAAGACCTTCATGTGAAAATCTTCCCTTGTATTAAGACCTTCATGTGAAAATCTTCCCTTGTATTAAGACCTTCATGTGAAAATCTTCCCTTGTATTAAGACCTTCCTGTGAAAATCTTCCCTTGTATTAAGACCTTCATGTGAAAATCTTCCCTTGTATTAAGACCTTCATGTGAAAATCTTCCCTTGTATTAAGACCTTCATGTGAAAACCTTCCCTTGTATTAAGACCTTCATGTGAAAATCTTCCCTTGTATTAAGACCTTCCTGTGAAAATCTTCCCTTGTATTAAGACCTTCATGTGAAAATCTTCCCTTGTATTAAGACCTTCATGTGAAAATCTCCCCCAGTTGACATAGATTCTTGTATTAAGACCTTCATTTGAAAATCTTCCCTTGTATTAAGACCTTCATGTGAAAATCTTCCCTTGTATTAAGACCTTTATGTGAAAATCTCCCCCAGTTGACATAGATTCTTGTATTAAGACCTTCATGTGAAAATCTTCCCTTGTATTAAGACCTTCATGTGAAAATCTTCCCTTGTATTAAGACCTTCATGTGAAAATCTTCCCTTGTATTAAGACCTTCATGTGAAAATCTTCCCTTGTATTAAGACCTTCATGTTAAAATCTTCCCTTGTATTAAGACCTTCATGTGAAAATCTTCCCTTGTATTAAGACCTTCATGTGAAAATCTTCCCCAGGTCACAGACCTACTTCGCGGAACTCCCACCTGAGAGGACTGACAACACGTCCGTCAATGTCGTGACCCTGGGGGACGGGCTGTACGCCCTGACCGAGACAGCGACCATCAACAGGGTTGACCCCCGGGATCTCAAGACGACGGAGATGGTAGGTCACGTGTTTTAATGGCCGACAACTGTCATAAGCACGCATTATTTTATACTGTTGGCTAAGCCCAGGTTTAAGATTAAGAAACCAGCGGCCATTGGGATAAAAAAAAATATATGCGGCTGTATTTGTTACGGTCATAACATCTTGTCATGTGCATACAATACAAGAAAACAACTGTAATATCAGTCAGCCCACCCCCCACCATCCCATGTGTATATAAACATAACATAGACATAGACCTCCCAGCCCCAATTCTTTATTTAAAGTTTCTAATAATCCCCCTTATGAACTATTGCTAAGGTTCTGGGTATAATTTTCAACTAGTGCTGTGCAGAAGAGAATCGGGTCACAGTTTCTGCTGGTAGTCGGTTATCTTCTGGTTAGTGTTGTTTCCGGTTAAATTCTCTGTTAATATTTTACTAGACACGGGAATTGTTAAGAGTAAATTTTTTTTAATGGTACAAAAAAATTGTATTAGACAAGAATATGAAGAGTCAGTCAATTATCAATTCATCCAATGCCCAGTCTTCGTAGCTCTTATCTGCTAAATATGTCCTGATGATAAAGGGAATTTTTCTTGCTTTCAGCTCTTTCATGGCTATGGCGAGAGGGTCAGTTTCTCCTTCTAGCTCCACCATCACAGGGGCACACATCGCTATTTGCAGTGCACGTGTTCCTATTAACTCTGGCCCGCTCATATTTTGTCATGTACTTGGTTGTTATTCATTTTTGGGGCTCCACCTGGCCTGTGGCTCCATCACTGATCATCTCCACTCTCTCACCCTGTTCATGATCTATAGCAGAGGTCTCCAAACTACGGCCCGCGGGCCGTATGCGGCCCGCGATGTCCTCTCATCCGGCCCGCGGAGATCTTTTTGTCCACGGAAAAGACGTTAGTTGGTGATGGCTGAGGAACTTTGCCCAGAAAAATCAAAGACATGCCTGGTAACAACTGGTCCCCGAGCTGAAATTTGATAGTCAATGCGGCCCTCGGACTGAAAAGTTTGGAGACCCCTGATCTATAGGTTCATCTAATGGCTCATCGTCTTCTACATCAGCTCCATCTTCAGAGTCGTCCCCGTCAGCTTCTTCTAGATCCATGAGTTTTTTTTTTTTTTTTTTTTTTTTTTTTTTTTTTTTTTGATCTAGCATACAGACTTTATTTCCAAACAAATTTCATTTATTTACATATACAAATGTTCAAAATTCATAGAGGCATTGATCACAAGCAGGTAGATTTTAGATATCAGCTTTGACATTTACAATGTAAATATATCGAAGCATTGGCAATCAAACACTGTGCTAGCTGTAGCCATTTAAACTCACATTCACCCTACTAGCTGCAGTCAGTGATACACACATACACACTGTAGAAACAGCAGTTATCAACCACACAAAAACCAGCTATCAAAGGTACAAGGTAAAATAAGTTGACTGTTGATGTTTTAAAATGTCTGAACCACAGGTGGCAAGGGGTTCTGCAAGGCTTTGTGTACTGAAATATCTCAGTTGTCAACATAAGAAAAAACTCAGCATCATTTACAACCAACATAATCTGTAGTCAGAACTAATTACATTCCCGGTTCTAATACTTTTCTCTCCATTTACACCATCAGTCTAGGCAATTTAAAATTAGATATCATTTGCTTATTCATAGAAAACTATCTGACAATTCAAAACCAATTCACTATAAATCCAACAATACTATATTATATTTATTCCTTTTTTAAACTATCACTATCAGGCAAAGGAAAAACTAAAATCACATTCGTACACAAGAGCAAACTGTACTATTTCCCCCCCCCCCCCCCCAATATCCTTTTGACATAGCCAGTATTCTCTGGCTTATTCACTGTCTCTGCTGTTAAAGTGTCCACCTGTTTCTGTAGCTCTCTGATCTGACTCTCCTGAATCTCTGTGACAGTGGTTAAAGTTTCTATTTTGGACTTGATGGTATTTAGTTCATTCCTTGCTTTCTCCTCCTTGGCTGCTTCTTTTTTGGAACTGCGTTGATACTCCATTCCCACGACAAGACAAGCCAGCCCAAAGACAACAAACTCCCCCAGCATTTCACCACCAAGTTCAATGGCTTCTTTTTCAGAGAGTCTTTCAACATTTTTCGCTTTACCCAGACCCATTATCCGGAGACGGAAGTTCACTTCAAACCAATGGTAAATCTGGGCCGGTGGCATACATATATATGTACGAAAAAAACGGGTGTGATTTCGCTCGTCTTTTAATTGAATTTGCAATTGGTTTACTAATCTGTTTTATAAAGAGGTAACCCAGTTAGATCCATGAGTTTTAACACTAAATCTAGACTAGAACTCTTCTGCTCATCCAGTGGCTATCCAACATCGTTACGAAGTAGCTCTTCCATCCCTACAAATTAAGTATTTAATGTAGAAAATGTTTTTCTTTTTAAATTAAAGTCAATTGATAATTCTAAAATATATCAAACATAAAGAGTAAAAAACTATTAGTATCAAGGTATAAATCTTTTTATTCAATCATTTTATTATAATTTTTTTAAAAAATGTTATAATTTTATTACTATCGAATGTATGTATAAAAACATAGTTGGCTGTTGTCTCCCCTGAAACATTTTAAAATATTTTTAAAGGGGAATAACTAAAGCTCAATAAGAAAATTTCAAACAATTCTAACCATTTACTAACAATGCATTGTTTAAACGTATGGAAAAATAATGCGTTACATTTCTGTAATAATTATTAAATATAAAATTTAGGAATATATTAACCTCTCTAGAGTTTATTTAGGCAGCTCTTCGGAAAGGGGGGGGGGGGGGCACCAAAGCCAGTCCATCCCCCCACACTTAACCGAAATAGAAAATATAGAAAATATAGACTTTAACAAGTGTGCGCCTCCCGGAAATTTAAGAAAACGGTGGTATTTGTTCTCGGATAATTTTATTTTGTTTATTATAGTATTTTTGTTTGAAAATTTAAATATATCTACTTTTTCACACAACAATTTGTTATTTAGGCCTAATTAAATCGTTATCTACATAATTTTTTTTCCTGTATTTATTTCATTACTGTGTCAAATGTTACATCGAATTTCCTCACTCCAATTTTTAATGCAAACTTCGTGTTTTGAATCATGCACCGCGTCTAGATAACACTTTTAAAATAAACTGGTAGTGATCTCCCCTAAACTTTCTCGAATATTCTTATATAAAACAACAGCGGATGGTAACTGGGGATATAGTTATGATTTTTAATCCATTTTAAATACTGAAACTTTTAAAAATAGAATAGAATCTCAGTAAAAAACAATTGCGCACCAAGCGAACGCCTAATAAAGGTGTGTATAATGGTGCGCAATAGTATTAGTACTTTAAAAATTTACATTAGTTTTTTGAGAAATCGGAAGTAGCGTAAATTACTACTTCCAGTCAACGGAAATTACTCAAAATTTAACAGAAGGTAGAGAATTAGATCTTTTACTTACATGTGAAATTTCATTTATCTATCTGAAATAGTACTCAAGTTATAGGCTTTTGAAAAATTCAAAGTAGAAAAAGTACCACTTCCGGTTGTCGGAAATCGCTCAAAAGTTGATACGGATCTACGATTTTAATATAATACTTATATATGAAATTTCATCAACCTAGCTGTAACGGTACTCAAGTTATCGTGTTTACACACGGACAGACACACACACAGACAGACACACACACACACAGACATACGGACAAGATTGCAAAATTATGTTTTTCCGTATCAGTGAGGTGTAAAACGTCGAGATTTGTAAAAATCTCGATTTTTTTTTTTGCACGATTACAATACTTTCTCTATACTACGTATATACGAGAAAGTAAAAATGATATTGTTTTTTTGTTTTTTTTTAAACCGCTGTCGTCTGTACATTTTTACGACGAACTCCGACTGTCTAAATTATGACCCAAACGTAACATTAATAAGAAGAACACACTCGGTGTTAATTTTAACAAAAGAATAAAACACAGAAAATAGCAGCCCTTTGAAGGGACGTGTTCGTCTGTGCTGGTACAAGAATTTTTGTACGAACAACAACGAAAACGTTTCACTCAGGTTGTTACTTGTGTTGTGGTGAAAACCATCTTTCAAAACGTCAGTCACTCTTTTAACTTGTTGACAGTGCTTTTTTCAGGCATCTCTGGAGGGAGGGGGGGGGGGGGATATTGCGCTCTCATCTACGAAGCACGCCCCCCCCCCCTCCCAGTAACTAAAGAAATGAACTTTAATAGAAAATATATACTTCTTTTATTGCCCCCTCCCGAGGTTTCAAGTACCCCACCCCCTTGGAGAAAATTTTCTGAAATAAATTCTTAGGTCGAGATGTCGTTAATTGGTTTTAAAATATTTTGAAACTTTGATACTACCTTACGTCAGAGGCGTAGCGAGGGGGGGGGGGGCGGGGTGTGTGGACCGCATCGGGTGACAACATTTAGGGGGGTGACACCAAGGCAAAACTTGAGGGGGGTGCAAATCGAAAACTTGAAAGTTTGTCCCCCGGGAAGGGTCGCTACGCCTCTGGGGGTGACACCATTAAGTGCCGCACCGGGTGACACCCGACCTCGCTACGCAACTGCCTTACGTCTATAACCCTTGGTTTTAAATTATTTTCTAACTTTGATACTACCATACGTCTATATAAGTCTATAACCCTCGGTTTTAAATTATTCTCTAACTTTGACACTACCATACGTCTATATCCCTTGGTTTTAAATTGTTTTCTAACTTTGATACTACCATACGTCTATATCTCTTGGTTTTAAACTTTTTCTAACTTTGATACTACCATACGTCTATATCTCTTGGTTTTAAATTGTTTTTTAACTTCGATACTACCATATGTCTATATCCCTTGGTTTTAAATTATTCTCTAACTTTGACACTACCATACGTCTATATCCCTTGGTTTTAAATTGTTTTCTAACTTTGATACTACCATACGTCTATAACCCTTGGTTTTAAATTGTTTTCTAACTTTGATACTACCATATGTCTATATCCCTTGGTTTTAAATTATTTTCTAACTTTGATACTACCATATGTCTATATCCCTTGGTTTTAAATTGTTTTTAACTTTGATACTACCATACGTCTATATCCCTTGGTTTTAAATTGTTTTCTAACTTTGATACTACCATATGTCTATATCCCTTGGTTTTAAATTGTTTTTTAACTTTGATACTACCACACGTCTATATCCCTTGGTTTTAAATTATTTTCTAAGTTTGATACTACCATATGTCTATATCCCTTGGTTTTAAATTGTTTTCTAACTTTGATACTACCATATGTCTATATCCCTTGATTTTAAATTATTTTCTAAGTTTGATACTACCATATGTCTATATCCCTTGGTTTTAAATTGTTTTTTAACTTTGATACTACCACACGTCTATATCCCTTGGTTTTAAATTGTTTTTTAACTTCGATACTACCATTTGTCTATATCTCTTGGTTTTAAATTATTTTCTAAGTTTGATACTACCATATGTCTATATCCCTTGGTTTTAAATTGTTTTTTAACTTTGATACTACCACACGTCTATAACCCTTGGTTTTAAATTGTTTTTTAACTTTGATACTACCATACGTCTATATAAGTCTAGAACCCTTGGTTTTAAATTATTTTCTAACTTTGATACTACCATATCTCTATATAAGTCTATAACCCTTGGTTTTAAATTTTTTCTAACTTTGACACTACCATACGTCTATATCCTTGGTTTTAAATTGTTTTTTAACTTTGATACTACCATACGTCTATATCCCTTGGTTTTAAATTGTTTTTTAACTTTGATACTACCATATGTCTATATCCCTTGGTTTTAAATTGTTTTCTAACTTTGATACTACCACACGTCTATATCTCTTGGTTTTAAATTATTTTCTAAGTTTGATACTACCATATGTCTATATCCCTTGGTTTTAAATTGTTTTTTAACTTTGATACTACCACACGTCTATATCCCTTGGTTTTAAATTGTTTTTTAACTTCGATACTACCATATGTCTATATCCCTTGGTTTTAAATTATTTTCTAACTTTGATACTACCATACGTCTATATCTCTTGGTTTTAAATTATTTTCTAAGTTTGATACTACCATATGTCTATATCCCTTGGTTTTAAATTGTTTTTTAACTTTGATACTACCACACGTCTATATCTCTTGGTTTTAAATTATTTTCTAACTTTGATACTACCATATGTCTATATCCCTTGGTTTTAAATTGTTTTTTAACTTTGATACTACCACACGTCTATAACCCTTGGTTTTAAATTGTTTTTTAACTTTGATACTACCATACGTCTATATAAGTCTAGAACCCTTGGTTTTAAATTATTTTCTAACTTTGATACTACCATACGTCTATATAAGTCTAGAACCCTTGGTTTTAAATTATTTTCTAACTTTGATACTACCATACGTCTATATAAGTCTATAACCCTTGGTTTAAATTATTTTCTAACTTTGATACTACCATACGTCTATATAAGTCTAGAACCCTTGGTTTTAAATTATTTTCTAACTTTGATACTACCATACGTCTATAACCCGTGTCCTTTCTTTCATTAGATTGACCTGAGTCGAGTCATCTCTGTCCACACAGGCACAGCCCACCCCCACTTCAACCAACAGGGCGACATGTTCAGCTACGGCTCCAACTTTGACCACAGAAAAGCTTACAACATCATACGAATTCCCAACATGAAAGGTAAGGGGAACAGGTGAAACAAAATTCTACCTGAGAACATAATGGGTTTGGTGTGCTTTCGACAGGTAGTACATTATTTGCATATGGCGTAAAGTTTTCGTAATTAAAAATATAAATAACTAGTATTATATGTGGTGCTTTAAAAAAATTTCGGGGCGATACAATGTTAATTCTTAACAAGTATTTCGGCCATTTTTGAAATGTTCACTGTTATATTCGAGATGTAAGTTAGGGTCTATATATGGAGGAAGATGTTGGAAATGGCGTGATGATTAGAAGATGTAGGTCGAGGGCGACACTTTTTTATCAATATAAATATACGTATGTAATTGTTGTAATATGGGTTGGGTTGGATGATAGTTAACTCATCTTATGTACCGAAATGTGTAGTTTTGTCCCTTTAAAGTTTGGCTAAATGAAATAAAATACTGACGTCATGATTAAATCAAAATACTAACGTCATGAGAGTCATGACTAAAAGAAAATTTTGACGTCATTACTTCAACACAATACTGACGTCATCATGCTCCACAGCTGACGCTGACCCGATGGCCAAGGCCGAGATTGTGGCCAGCGTGGCCAGCAGATGGCCCACGAACATCTCTTACAACCACAGTTTCGGCATGAGTGAGAACTACTACGTGGTTCTGGACCAGCCCGTGGCCTTCAACACCAAGAAGTTCCAGATTTCAAACGTCGACATGCAGGGCGTGGCAGGGACTCTGGTGCTCAGGAGGGGGGAGGCGGTAGGTCATTTGTTATCAGGATGGGGGGGGGGGGGGTAGGTCATTTGTTAACAGGAGAGGGGGTAGGTCATTTGTTATCAGGAGGCGGTAGGTCGTTTGTTAACAGGAGATGGGGGGTATGTAGGTCATTTGTTAAAAGGAGGGGGTAGGTCATTTGTTAACAGGACGGGAGGTAGGTCGTTTGTTAACAGGAGGGGGGGGTGGTAGGTCGTATTAACAGGAGGGGGAGTAGGTCATTTGTTAACAGGTAGGGGTAGGTCAATTTTTAACAGGAGGGGTAGGTAGGTCATTTGTTAACAGGAGGGGTGGTCATTTGTTAACAGGAGGTGGTAGGTCATTTGTTAACAGGAGAGGGGGGAGTAGGTCATTTGTTAACAGGTAGGGCTAGATCAATCGTTAACAGGAGGGGGAGGTAGGTCATTTTTTTAACAGGAGGTGGTTGGTCAATTGTTAACAGGAGGGGGAGGTAGGTAGGTCATTGGTTAACAGGAGGGGGAGGCGTTATGTCAATTGTTAACAGGAGGGGATGTATGTCATTTGTTAATAGGAGGGGGAGGCGGTAGATTTGTTAACTTAGAATACTGTGGGTATGTAATTTGTTAACAGGTGGGGGGGTAGGTCATTTGTTAACTTAGAATACTGGGGGGTAGGTAATTTGTGAATATAGAATACTGAGGTGGGGGGGAGGGGGAGCTTATGTTCGAAACGTGAGAGGAGGAACGGTAGGTAATTTGTTAAGCTAGAATACAGGGGTTCTTTGTTCTGAAAACGTGTTTGGAGGGGGGGGGGTTGTAGAGTGTGGATTGGTCATTTTTTTAAATAAAGAACTGTTGCATCGTGTGGTCGGAATGTGGTGGTGGTGGTGGAGGGGGTAGCTCATGTTTAAGCTACTAAACTACAGATAAGAATGTAGGTGTGGGGAGGGAGTGGGGTGTATAATCTGTAATCAAAAGTGTGTTTGTGTAGAAGAAAAAAAAGGGGGGTGGAGGGGTGGTACAGTAAATTAATGTAAAGTTAAGAAACAGTGAAAACATAAGGAAATAGGGGAGGGGTGCTATAGAATTTGTTAAGTCCCTTTTCTCGTACGTACCCATTAGTTCAGTTCAGCTGTGTTAAGTTACGCTTTTTAAAAACCATGTAAATAAATATAAACTTGATACCCTTTGAACCAACCCCAATTTGTGAACACTGTTGTGTCGACATTGGTAGTTTGATACTTAAAATTATGTTTTGGAAGCGTAGAATCATACAAATTGGGGGTGGTGGGGGGGAGGGGGTGATCTAGATTACAGTTAAAAAGAATGCTGAAATTTTTTTAGAAGGCTTGGGAGCTACCAAGAATGGATTAAATGTGCTGAGTAAATGATGTGTGTCCCAATGTTGTGAGCTGTTTTGTGAGCTGAGTTCAGACATACACAAACAGAAAGTTGTGAACGGTGGGGGATGTGGGGCCAATACAACAGGTGAGATGTGTTGGTCTGTTAGTCAGAGTTTCTTTCAGGCTTCTACCATTGTCCGCCCCCCCCCCCAAACCCAGAATATTTAGTCCGCCCCCCCCCCCCCCCCCTAAAAAAAAGGAGAACATTTTTCGAAAAGAAGACTGCTGTTAGTGTGTTACCAATGGACCATCAGTGCTAGCGAGAGAAGGTTCAAAGTTCAATCAGGGGACGTAATCCTTCTCAACTTCTCAGCTCCAGTTCCTCGTCATTGACCGCCGGACTAGCAAAAAAATCCCGGTGACCTACGAGACCAGCTGCGCTTTCGTTTTCCATTTCATCAACTGCTACGAGGAGGACGGTTATCTGGTAATCGATCTGGTCATTTACCACCGTATCGATGCCATCCTGGACCTGTATTTGGAGAGGATGAAGAAATCGGATTTCAAATACCAGACGCGGGATCGTTTGCTCGATTTGTGCTGCCTCTCAACGTAGAAAATGTAAGTTGATGTTCACTAGATCTAGATTATTCATTAGACTTCCGCAATGTTCTAATAGCTGGAATTGTCAGCAAATATTCGCCAACACTAAAGCTAACCCAATATCTATCTTTAGTTTTAAATTACCAATCCGATATGCAACCTTTTTTTTCCCCAAAAAACATTTTCTCCTTTTTCTGGTTCGTATTTGTGGAACATTCTTCCTCATAAAATAAAACTGATATCTGAAAATATATTAAAAACTAAACTAAAACAACTACTTCATGACCTCCTAAACATTGCAACATTTCTCATTCATCGATCACATTCTCATCCTATCCCAATGTGTAATATTTTATTCCAAATTTTTTAATGCGGTGTTACTGCTGTCTTTACCACTCAATGGAGGCGAGCGAGTTGACGAGATTCCTTCTATAATGTTGTTGATATGGAATAAAAACGTGCTTTTTAGATTTAGACCGTAAAAAAAAATAAAAAATAAAAACTTAAGCCTAAAATTAATTTAGAAATTTTATATTTTTAGAATAAATGCTATAAAAGTTGCAAATCCAGAGAACTTGAAAATAATTTGTTGAGTTTAAGGCTACATTTCTATTTATTTTCATCAAGCCTAAGTTATAACCGGATGTTTCACTTTCGTAAGACAAATATTGATTGGCTGTGCAGTAACTTAGTGATCGATAACTATTTGTTTACAAACCTTTGCAGATCAAGTTTTTAAATAACAATGCAAATTTAAAACCCCATGACCTAGTTTTCTATTTTTAGTTTACAATGTGTACAATAAAATCAATGGCGGCCTATCCAATAGCAGGATGCCATTGTTTATGTCGCCATTACACGTGAAAACCAAATTGTTTTTGCTTTTTTTTTTATTTTTATTTAGTTACCGAAAATATTATAAACATCAAATACATCCAATCGTTAGTAAAGTCCGAAAAAAACCAGACAGGCAGGATTTTATAACCATATTAATTGTAACTACTCTGTGCATGATTTTTAAATGAATTTATACACCTCTCAAATACCTTTGAGACTTTTCTCGCTGGTGTCCATTGCTTTTTAGCGCAATTTCCATTCTGGAGAATTGCGTTTATTAACTCGTCATTATGGAAATGGATGGATGGGTGAATGAATGAATGGATGTATGTGTGTCCGCAGCTTTAAGTCGTATCTCCTCCTCAACGAAGCAATAACGAGGACTAGTTTCAAAAGCAATTATGTTTAGCAAGTTACGAGGATGAACATAGGCCAAAAAAAATCCGGGTTTCTTTCATGGATTTCCCGTAAAAGCAAAAAACCCTCGAAAAAATGCAGTTTTTTGCCCATATCTCGGCAACCAGACCACTTAGCTACTTGAAACATGTACCCAGTAGCGTACGCAGGGGGGGAGCAGGGGGAGCGGCCGCTCCCCCTCTGGCCATTTTCAGCAAAGTGGCGCCTTTTTGGAAACTTTTTAAACTCAAAGTTTTAAACAATGATTTTTGTTAAAAAATTATTTTTGGTCGGCACGTCTATGTAAATCACAAGATTTCTTTTCATGCAGCAATTAAGCAGAATTGTACTAGTCTAGTAGTGTCTACGTTTACAACACGTATTAACAGCTGTATCAAGTTAGTCATTCTAAAAATAACCATTACGATGCATTGCAATTTTAAAAAACCTCTACGGGTAGTATACCACTTGGCAAGAGGGGTGTTAAGTTTAAGGCAACTGTATAATGTATTTGCTTAAGAATAATTGATCTAGAAAATATTATACATAAATCTTCACACATAATTACTTTATATATACATTTTTAATAGTGTAATTAGTTTTAAAAAATTACAATACAGACACAAATACAACTGATGTGGCACCTCTATTTAAATTTATTTATGGGCAAACTGCGTAGTGGTGGGGAAATTTTGACACGGTCAACAACGTCATCACGATGAAGTAGTAGTATTATGACAGTTTGAGCGATAGTGATTACGATTACAAATTATATGAAACAGTTACAACCCCCTCCCCCCCTTCCCCCCCTCATGGACCCCTCTGTAAAAAAAAATATTGTCATAATACCACTGCTACTTATTTAAATCTATTTCTGAATCAGTATATATGTGTAATTGAATATGTATGTTTAGAACAGTCATCTAAAAACTGATGCTATGTTCACTCTGAGTTGGTTATCCCACCCACCCCACCCCCACCCCACACACCTCACCACCACAATTGTGTAGAGCGACATTAATGTCACACCTAGGTATACACTGGAATGGATAATTGACCTAAAGTGACCGGACAGTGGTGAATGTAGTTGAACCCCCCCCCCCAACCCACCCCGAACTGATCTGTTAAGTACATTTGGGAAAACGCGTAACGATGTACCAAATTACCATGCCGCCAGAAGCATAGCTTTGGAAACAGGTAAAACTCTGTGAATATTGTTTTTGCAATTACCCGTAAAAAGGTGTGTGATCAATACAATGATCTAACCCATACCTGATCACTATGTTACAAAATGATCTTTAAAGAACACAAAAAGCAGTAGTTAATTAAAAGATGTATGATCTGAACTACAAGACCGATATTGTAGATTAATGTAAGCTATTATTCCGAATGTTATTCTACATATTTTAAAGCGTGTTTATATACCAACTCTCATTTAAAAAACGTCCATTATGCTGTAATAATTTAGCATTAATGATGACGATATATTTAATTCTGATTGTAGACAAAATATTTTTGTAAACACGAATACTGTTAAACAACTTTATTACATTCTAAAGTAACGAGCCGACCCGCGGTGTATCATACGCCGCTATTTAGTTGTTTTTTCTACTTTTCAGTAATTCATAATTTGTGAATTCGTCAGTACCAATGCTGCCACTGAAAATATTTGCATTAAAACAATAACCCCCCCCCCCCCCCCCCCCCGTGAAAGCAGCCTCCTCTTAGGTACCTCCTCTAAGTTTAAAATAGTTTCAAACTGAATTATCTGCCCCTAATAGCCGTCACCAAACCCGGCTCTACGATTGTTTTATAAATATTTAGCGTGAACTACAACTCACTTGACTATGTGAGGGGAATGGGGGTGGGGGGGGGGGGGTGGTAGCGATAGAGAGGAAGAGAGGGGACTGCAAGGCGCGCGCCTGCAGCTTGTTTTCTAACGTCTCCCAGAAGAGAATTATATATATAGATAGATTATTGATTTGTTTTGACATTTGTAATTAAATATGTAGATATATATATACATATTTATACTAAGAGAGAGATTATTTCCCCTATTTCGTATGTCTTAATTAATTAATGTCCCAGGAATTATTATGTTAAATTTTTTTTACAAGAATTACATAACAGATTGTGTTGCGTGTATTGTTTTTGGTTGTATTGTATATATATATATATATATATATATATATATATATATATATATATATTTGTTGTTTAGATTGATACATTTGTGTTTTGTCGGCCTACATTGTGTGTTTTTTTCTTATTTCTTCAAGTGCTACTTACAATTTATTTTACATCATAACTATATATAGTTACTAGATAATACACGTATATAGAACGTGTTAAAAATTCGACGCCTTTTTTTTTGCTCATTTCGCTCCCCCTACAAAGAAAACCTGGATACGCCTCTGCATGTACCAATCGATTCCTGCCATAATTTAGAACAATATTGCCGAAGATAGTTTTCAAAAATATCCTTTCGTTCGGTCACAAAAAGTTTTTGAATTAATTAAAATATTGACCGACTTAGTAGGCATTTTTATCCAACCACACCACACGCGTCATCACGTTCAATGGCTGCGCCATCGCGTTCCATGGCTGCACCATCACGTTCAGTAGGCGCGCAATGGTTTTTAGTCATGTAACTCTATTGTAAATAAAACATGTAAAATACTGAAATTTTATTTAATAAAAAACGTTTTAATAACTAACCAATGGTTTTACTAACCCTGCTCTTGATTTACGCTACGACAGAGCTATTTTTAGATAACATAAGGAAATTGCGCTAAAATTGTCACTAGACTTTTTTTAATTACTTGTTTTAAATTGTGTTTTTTTAAAAACGGCCAATGTAAAAAAGGCCTCCGTTATTGAATAAAATTGAACATGAATAGCTTACACAATTACATTTAAAACTCAAAATTTTCCCCAATCCATAATTTTGAACATTTAAGGCAATAAATATATTACTACAGTATGTCAATATTATTGAAATTTTATTTTTTTAAATTCTATATAGATTCAGATGCTAAATATGAGATGTAAAAACGAGGGAAAACCTCTTATAATCATCGGTTCTGACACTCATTTTTAACCCTACTGTATTTGTTCCGTTTCTAACATTTACTTCATCTTTTTTAAGTTACCAAACTACTAAATAGAGCCATTGTTGTGTCTACTCTAAAGTTTTCAATCGAACGTTTACTCGATCTATTTATAGGCCCCACGTGATATCAATCTGGTCGGCTTGCCTCACTCCAAGGCCACGGCTATAATCGACTACGACGCCAGGAACGTCGTCAGCTTGACGCCAGATTTTTTTACACCCGGTGAGTTCTTTAGTTGCCAGATAGTGGAATAAGTTTTTGTGAGCTGTGTTGAGGTTAGATAGCAAAGTACAGCGCGCGATCTCTAGTGATTAAAGTCTCGAGTTCGGTTCCCCGGTCCGGCTTTGTCGTGTTTGGCCGTGTCGTGATTAGCCTTGTGTTTAGCCTTGTGTTTAGCCTTGTGTTTAGCCTTGTGTTTAGCCTTGTGTTTAGCCTTGTGTTTAGCCTGTTATTTAGCCTTGTCGTGTTTAGCCTTGTCGTGTTTAGCCTTGTCGTGTTTAGCCTGGTCGTGTTTAGCCTGGTCGTGTTTAGCCTGGTCGTGTTTAGCCTGGTCGTGTTTAGCCTGGTCGTGTTTAACCTATATATTACAGTTTTCTACTTTAAAAAATTGGCTGGAGTAACCAGTTATATACAGCAGTCACCTAAAAACGATAATTCCCTCATCCAGTGTTTCTTTCAGGCATTTCTTCTGGGTGGGTGTCTTATCCCCCTCACCGAAGCACGTCTACCCCCCCCCCCCCCCCTTTTCTCCGAACGGAATAGAATTTATATAGAAAATAAATATATACTTCAACCAGTGTCCTCCCTCCCCTTCCACCTCGGAGAAAAGTCTGAAAGAAACCCTGCGCTCATCGGTGTAATGTAATTATTCTTTGAATAAGCGTTATAAAGGCGGACCCAGGGTATAGAGCGACTTAGCCTAATGAGGTCATCGGCTTATCTATTTACACTAGTAGTGTGAAAAAATGAGGCGATTTCGCAACGTTGTGTTACATACTACATCAGATTAACCTCATCAGAGTAGTCTCATCAGAGTAACCTCATCGGATTAACCTCATCGGATTAACCTCATCGGATTAACCTCATCGGATTAACCTCATCGGATTAACCTCATCGGATTAACCTCATAGGATTATCCTTATCGGATTATCCTTATCGGAATATCCTCATCGGATTATCCTCATCGGATTATCCTCATCGGATTATCCTCATCGGATTATCCTCATCGGATTATCCTCATCGGATTATCCTCATCGGATTATCCTCATTGGATTATCCTCATACGATTATCCTCATACGATTATCCTCATACGATTATCCTCATACGATTATCCTCATACGATTATCCTCATACGATTATCAGAATAACCACATCTCATTTATCACATCTCTTTAACCTCGCCTCATTACCATCTTCTAATTAACCTTATCTCACTAATCCCATCTCATTAATCTTGTCTCATTAACCTCTTATCCTGCGACTGTTTCCATATCCCAGAGAAGATCACCATGGAGCTGCCCCGGATCAACTACCCAATGTGTGCAGGACGCAAGTATAGATACGCCTATGGAACCTCTGTGTTCAGCGACTTCTATAGGGTGAGTCTCAATACGCTACACAAAAATCCTCTTCACTAAGTTTTGTTTTTACGTCTCATTGTTCCTGCAATGTGGGTCTTGTACTCTGTTATCAGATGGGTTATATGTCAGTAATTACTAACATATTTTACTATAGAAACTGATAGAAGCCGATCGTTTTTTAAAGCTCATATTCCTCCATTTCTAAGTACCAGCGGCGAAGCCTGCCTAAAGACATGCATGGAAAATAAAATAGGAAAATTTTCCCTCTTCTTAAACACACTCATAGGGGCCTACATGGTTTAATCTTTTTAAAAATCACTATAATAGTGTTTAATATTGTTACCTCTCCCCCTATCACTCTTCTTGGTTTGTTTTGTTTTTTTGCATTTATTTGGTTGTTCCCCTTTACACACTAACATCCATTTATTTTTCTACTATTCTTCTACTGCTTTCGTTGGCTGTATTTTTTTTTTCTTGATTTTTTTGTGGATAATTTCCATAGCTGTTTGTAGTTATGCATAGCCCCCCCCCCCCCCCCCCCATTCATCAGAATAATTTCCCGACAATTTTCAAAACCTATTTTCGTTCCCATCAGCTGGTGAAACTGGATACCCAAGAAAAGACAGTAAAACAATGGCGGCTAACCCAGTACTACTATCCTGGGGAACCCATCTTTGTCCCCACCCCTGGTGCTATCGAAGAAGACGACGGTACATTTCTACTTATATTAATTTATATTATATACACCAATTTACATATACGGGGAAAAATGTGTTAATTGTGGTTATGTCCCTTTATCTTCAGGTGTTATTCTCTCCCCTGTCTTGTGTGAAACATTAGAAGAACCGTCATTTCTGCTCGTCCTAGACGCTCGTTCATTCACGGAAATCGCACGCGCATACATCCCGAGCAATGTTAAAATGAGTATGACATTCCATGGGACTTTCTGCGGCAGCAAAAACCCGCCTCGAGACAATTTACCGGATGTTGTCGACATTCACTTGTGACAAATTTATTTTTAACTTTTCACTGCTTGCAAGATTGTAACATTACATATTGATTTTTTTTTATTTATCTATTTTGTTTAATACATACTATTCCTCTATCGCGTTCCGTGTAAAACAGGTCATATATATATATATTATATATTATGCTGACGCAATGTGGATGTAAGAAGTATGTTTATAACTTTTGTAAGCGAATTTAACTTAAGAAGAAAAGCGTAAAGTAATCCTATATGGAAAGAGAAGCAATAAAAGGCTTAACATGCTCAGTTGTGTGCATATAAATAATACAAAATTTGAATATTTTTGACCCGTCCAGTCCTCACCCCAACCTCATGTTATGTAAAACAACGTTTTGACGGGACCGTTTTTGGAGGTGCACCGTAAAACAATATATACATTTATACGCCGTGATTTTTAAAATAAGGAATTCATTTCGTTACAAAGAATATCAGATACGGGAGATGTTTTTAAAAAACCGCTTCACCCCTGTTCAATTACTCCAATCACACCCACCCCCTGTTAGTGTACCACGACTACACAGTGGCGTCGCTAGGTCGGGTGTCACCCGGTGCGGCACCTCGTGGAGTCTACCTAGACCTATAATTTAAATATGTCATATACACGTAGATGTAGGCTATGTGTATAAGCATATGTTTATGTATGTTTATACCGGGTTTTTTTTTTCTAAACATAATACAATTTGGGAAGCTACGCACTTTTGTACTGAATCGCTATTTCTAATGTATAGGAAAATTAGTTCTATGGTGACCAAGGAGATATGTTCAACGTTTGAATTAGCTCATTACCTTTTAGTTCGTTTTGATCAGTACATTGCTTGTTTGTGAAAGTTATTATCGGTGTCACCCCCCCCCCCCCAGAGGCGTAGCGAGGGGGGGGGGGCGGGGGGACATATGTCCCCGGGCGCCGACCTTAGGGGGGTGGGGGCGCCAAATTGAAAGTTCGAGGGGGGGGTGCAAATCGAAAGTTTGTCCCCGGGCGCCGGGAAGGGTCGCTACGCCTCTGACCCCTCCCCCCCCCCCCCACACCTCCTCCCTTTTTGCCTAATAGCGTCAATTTGTGCACGTAATTATATTAATCCCCCTATTAATTCAAGTGGAAAAAATAAACATCGTTTTAATAATAAATTATTATGTCATAGCACCCCCACCCCGTTGTTAATTGACTTGTTAGTTATTTTTTCCCTTCTGTAAATGTATTAGTTAGTGCCACTATCCCCCCTCGGTGATAGCTTTTATTTGTCACATAATGTAATAGCAACTATGTTGATCTACAGTCGGTTATTAATACAGCTGAAAGCAGCATCGGCTTCTCTATAGTTAGCATGTATACGTCATAGTGTCACCAAAAGACTATCTAACTTTAATTAATCATTAAACAGGCAAAAATATTTTTTCTTCTGTTCATTTTGCAATTCTTTGTATTGGTGTCACACCCTGTATGTTGTCACCCGGTGCGATCCGCACCACCCGCCCCCGCCTTGCGGCGCCTCTGCGATTACAAACTGTCCTCAAACATGATTTTGTAGATAGAATTTTTTTTTAAATGTTTATTTATCAACAATCAATAATTTAATGTATATTCTTGAAATATGGATGGAATTTAACTTCGAATACCCAACAATTAACATTACCCTGCAAGATTTCATCACCATGTACGCAAGTCTACAAATTAAGCGATTGATTTAGCTATTAGTTTTCTATTTCGACTATATTAAAATAATTCCTAAATGTATATAGTATGAGAATCAAACAAATAAACACTTTTTAACACAAATGTATATTAACATAATTTTTAAAAATGTTTTATCATTACAAGCCTATATTAATTTTTTTTTCAGTATTTTATATTTCTTGTGATTACTGTTTTAGGTTGTTCCCCTTTTGTTAAATTAACAATTTGGAATTTGCTTAATTAAATTTAGAAACAAGACAGCATCAAATAATGTATAAATTCAAAATATTTATTACAATAACAGGTTATCTACGTGTATGGAATAATAATTAAATGCATCGATATACTAATTATTATTGGAAATTTAAATATCACTCAACCCCCATGACGAAAATATTTCCAAATGGACTTTTTCTTTTACTTATTTTACATAACTTATGGGATTATTTTTTCTTCACTAGTTTTATTACGACAGATTTTGTTCAAATGAATCAGCAGAAACAATCTCTCTCCTTAGCCGTTAGCACTAAAAAATGTGACGAGTCATCTTTGTGAGTCTATCCTGTGGTGGAGCCAGCATCATGAAGGGTGCTATTAGCCAGCAGCGCAAATCATTTTTATCAATATAAATATAGATTCTATGTGTATCAAAATATAAAATGGTTTGTGAAAAATCGTGAAATCATCCAGGATACTAATAGTTTGTAGTTATGTCCCTTTAATTAGGAAAAAAATGAAATTGGGGCTACACTTTCCCCATATTAATAAAAATATAATAGCTAAGTATAAAGGGGTCGTCCATAAATGAAGTCACACTCGAAGGGGTGAGGGGGGGGGGGGGGGAATCCGTAATTTTGTGACGGTGTGTGATAAGGGAAAAGGGGGGGGGGGGGGGTCAAATGGTGTGAAGTCGCACTTTTACATAATTAAAAAATCAATGTTAGAAAACTAGTTTTAGCCGTTATTTCGCGTTTTAGAAAACTGTTTTAATAAATTATACTAGGAATTGGTTAAAATACTCTGTTGACAGTGTTCAGTCAAGATTTTTGGAAAAATTTCGATCTTTTAAGAAACTGAACTATAATTTTTAAGGGGTGGGGGAGGGTTGAAGGCTGAGGTGTGACGTCATTTAGGGGGGTGTCTGGCTTTTTGTGACGATGTGTGACAGAGGGCAGGTTAAAATCGTCAAAAAAAATGCGTGACGCTATTTATGGATGAACAAACAGGTTTTAATTCAATGCCAGTCAGCCAACTCAGTATTATCTAGTCATCAATGAAAAGTATCCAATTTTGTAGTTCTTTGCACTGAGTGGAAGATGCAAAACCAGGATAAAATAATAAAAATAAAAAATAAAAATACCAATGCTCAATGTAAATCTTTATTCAGGTCTTTGTGAAAACAAAAAAGAAACAACCTAGGTTAGAAATTTAATATAACACTTTAAAATTTGAGTGGGCAAAGCTACACCAAACAGTGTTGTAAAGAGTAGGAGCATAAAATGAAAGAAAGACTAGATATAATTATAATAGCCAGAGTTTGTGAGGTGTTAGTTAATGATTTTAACTTTAATTTTCTTTACTAGAAATACTAGAGATATTGTTCATAATTACATTAGAAATCAGATGGTAAATAATTAAAACATGAATGGTGATTGTATCACACAACTTTATGATAAAGGCCTCTAAAAGAAAAAAAACATGAGAAGAATAATTAGGTGTTAAAAAAATTAATTATAAAACAGGTTGGAAAAAAAATATACAACCATCAGTATTTTTTTTAAAATTATAACCTTAGTAAAAATCTCATGTGGTAAAAATTAACTGCTGAGAATTCTATCCAGGTTAATTATGTGAAGGAGACAATTTTTTTTTCACTGTCCATTTCATTAATCTCATTAAATCATCAATGGTTGTTTCCTTTCATCTTCTAAAGCCCCCTCACTAAGCCAAGGGCATTTTAATACTTTCCTTATTTAACAGATTAAAGGATTTAAAATAGAATTCTTTGATCTGTAAACAAAAAAGTAGATTAAATTGAAAATTTTTATTACATCGTAGTAAAACCAGATATGTCAGAAACCATTAAAATTGTGGAGTTAACACAGAGTAAAAATATTTTTAACAAACAATTTGTTTCATAGTAATAGTGTATATATAACAATGGTCTTTCAACAAAGTGGCCACTACTCTTCAATTACTACATTTCTAAAACACAAACAAAACTTACAAAATATTTTTTAGAATACGTTTTCTTATTCTCTATTTAAATTTAAAACTGTATTTGAAACTTAATTAAGTACATAAGAGTTGGGTGTACATGTACATAAACAGATATTTAAAATCAGCTATATATATATATATATTTCATGTAAACAGAGTGTAGATGTGTTCTAAAAATTACCTAGTCACCTGATCAGAGTCATGTGATCAAAGTAAAAATAAATAATTATGCAAACCAAAAAAAAAATATGTAGAGATTCCATTTGGAACTAAAAGAATTCCAAAAAGAAAATTCATTTTGTCATTATGTTTCATAACTTCATGTACAAAGTAAACAAAAAAAAGTAGTTGAGCTGTACAAATGAAAACTACAGTAACCGGCAGATCAATGTAAAAAATACATCAACAAGTTCCAAGTGTGGATTCGTCTGCACTATGAGACATCAGAAATGTGCTTGGATTACAATAACAATTCAAAAATCATTACTTTTAAAAATAGTGAAGTGAATGGAATGCCAATATAAATAAACCAAATCACACCTGGTTTTTTTTTAAAAATGTAAACAAAACAAAAATAATAGCTTACATAGAAGCATTTTAAGCTCACATATAGTTTCAGGTAACATACAAGTATTTTAAGCTTACATTATTAGCTTTAGGTAGTTGTATAACTCATTTGACACATAAATATATGAGGTTGTTTATTCAGAATGTGTGCTAGTTAACCTTAATTTTTTATCTACTAATCCCTTTAAACATCTACCTATGCAATAAGTTTTTTATGTAATACTTAATTTCAAACAAACATCAGTTTTAAGATTCATTATGCTGACATTATGAAATAGGTGCAGAAAACAGTGGGCTCTATCACACTGCAAGAAAACAGGTTAACACCAAATTTAAATACATTAACTTGAGAAGTAGCATTGGCTACAAAGACATGAAGGGGTTTCAACTACTTAGTCCTGAAAGATGCTTTCATAACTCCAATTACACCTACTAGAAATATCAGCTATATAGACATGAAAGGTGTAGGTAGAGTATAAGTACTAAGCCACATAGCCCAGAAGGATGGGTATTTTGATAAAGTTTAGCTACAGAGACTATGTGGCATCACTACTTAGACTTATAAGGTGGTTCTAGTTACATTATAGTGTGGTCTCAGCTATACTCTGAGCAGATGGCATTAGCTACTTAGAAGACTAGCAAGGTTGCATCAACTACATACTCAAAGGGTGGTATTAGCTAGACTTGTAAGATGGTATCAGCTAAGCTATTGAGCGCTTGGGTTTCTTCATGTAAAGAGGGGAGTGCCTGAAGGTCCAGGGATTCTCACACCCTGCTTGGTAGCAATGAACAGAGCCAAGACAATAACCCCCACCACACCAACCACCACAACAGTGGCTATCACATGAGATCTCCAGGTGCCCCTGTAGCGGGCAGGGCCAAGTGTAGCCAGCAGGGATACAGCTAAGGTTAGGGTCATCACCATGGAGACAGTTGTGTTTATTAGCAGGATGGAGCCAAACTTTGCAAACGGTTGGATGTAGGTCTGGGTTAAGGGTACAGCAGCGATGATTGTGGTCAGTGCAGAGCAGACAATGGCTACTCCAATATGGCGGACAGCTAATGATGTCCTCTGTCTCCTTAAACTAGCAGCATTCTGAAAGAGCACATCAAAAAGATGGATTAATATCTTTTGGTAGCTTAAGATTTTTGTATGGGAACAAGACCATTACACAGTTACAGCCATGTTAGAATAGATAAAGGCAAATAAAATTCATAAATAATTTTTAGTAAATTTATATTACAAAAAATATTATAATTTGAAAAATACTTTACTATTTAGGCTGAAAATTTTTTTTAATAAAATTTTTAAAAATACCTCAGTTTTTAAATAACCTGAGTCCATTCTACGTCCAGCCAGGATATAGCCTTCGACTATGTGCACACAGTAGTCAACAGAGGAACCAACCAGGATAGACAGGGACACGGCTTCTACAGCTCCCATTTCCCAGCCGGCCAGGTAGAACACACCAACCACACAGCAAATCATGGCTGGAAGAAATACAAGTACACCATTAGCTTAATGACAACAGTACATCATTCTATATAATAGTTTCGCTGTCTGTGTATCTATGTATCTGACAAGAACGCTCTAGAGAAAACACAAGGAAATTAAAAACATGCATAGTAATTCGAAAAACGAAGTATGACGTCGGCATATTTAGCATAGAGTAGAAAATAATCTCAAGCCGGAGAGTTCACACAGTAATATGACGTCATTGATTCTCGAGTAAACATTGAATAAAAAGGCAATTTTGTCTAATCTAAATGGTTTGCGTGAAGAGTTTCTTGCATACAATTTTTCGGGTAGGGGCGAAGCCCCATCCCCGCTTAAGAACGTCTGAGCCCCCCCTCCCCAACTCAAAAGAAATTTCTTCATCGATACTCTATAATAAAATTACCGCCTAATTAATGTGTCTAATCTAAAAAGTGGTTTTCTTGCAATTTCTTTAATGCAATTCTTCGGGTAGTGGCTAAGCGCGACACCAGTGTTTCTTTCAGACTTTTTCCTCCCCGGAGAGGGGTGGGGGTACTTTGAATTTTCGGGGGCGGGGGTAGAATTTTCGGGGAGGGGGCGGACACTGGAAAAAGTATATAATTATATTTTGTTGAATGGGACGGTAGACATGTTTTTTTGGGTGGTGGGGGGGCGGGGGTGGTGTGTGGGGTGGTTTTAGTTTACAGAAAAGAGACAGCACTATCAGCCTAGCGCCCGTTGTATCCTTCCTCAACGGGCCATTTTTCTCGTTAGATGATAATGGTACAGCATTAGTCTGATGACACCAGTACACTATTAGGTGAGACTAGTACAGAATTAGCCAGATGACACCTGTACTACCTTAGATATCACCAGCAGGCCTACATCCATATTTAGCATTAGCTAAATGACACTAAGACTGCATTTAACTACTGTCACAACCACTGTTCCCTCTAAGAGGAAAAAGCTAGTGAGCGTGGTGTTCTTAACGTCCTATACAAAGATGTATGTATTTTACAAAATGACAGCACGGCAGGTTCAAATCTTCTGAGCGGCAGTGCAACCGCGCAACTTAGAGGGAACATAAATCCACCACATTGGACCAGTTATCAAAAGAAAAAGTCACAACAAACAGACTGAATTAATGATAGTAAAAGAAATTGAATTCTTCATGGGTGAGCACTTAACCATTGTTATATCTAATTAAGCCAATTTGCCACTAAGCACCTACCTATAATTGTGATGACCACAATGAGAAGCAAGACAGCATGTCCAGTGAAGATAGCCACAGAGACCACACAAATTAGCATGGAAAGGACCAGACCATAAATTGCACTATTGACTGCTACAACTTCCATCATAACCTAACGACAAAAGTTAGCCCCATATGGAAATATGTACACAAAATATAACATATTAATATTTTATACTATTATTATGTAAGTATCAATTAGATAAGTAATAAAAAAATATTAATAAATCAAGTAGTAGAAAGTAGAAAAGCTGTTTTAATTCAACCTACAACTTAAGATTACGCATTATATTGCATTGAAGAAACTAACTTGAGCACTTTTTATATCAAAGGGAGCTAACTATTTTTTAAGAAAACATTATATATTGAAAAGTATTGGCCTAGGCTTGTATAAAAGATTAGACGTAAAATTTATGTACAAATAAAAATCGGTGCTGATTTATACAAATATTTCAACCAACACATTTTTTTTTGGTTACAGATTGAGATATAGAATTGTTTCCCTTTAACTGTTCTTATTTTTGGAAAATGACCTAATGACCAACAGATATAAACATAATAGATAAAGACATTATGAATAACAGATAAATAAATGATCGGAAAACAACATAGTCAACTGATCTAAAACCAAAAATGAGCCATAAAGTGTTTAACCTTAGTCCAGAACTCTGAAGTCTGAAACATGCTCTGAAGTGGAGAGTCAGGTGAGATGACATTGCTCTTTATGTGGGCCATAAGGCTTTCCCACTTCAGGTATTCTTTGTAGGCATCAAAGTAGGCCTGGCCCTCTGATGTTGTCTGAACATAAACATAGAACTTTGTTAAAATATTGTCTTTAAAGTTTTCCTACTGTGATCTAGGCCTGGCCCTCTGATGTTGTCTGAACATAAACATAGAACTTTGTTAAAATACTGTCTTTAAAGTGTTCCTACTGTGATCAAATCGGACAAAAAGACCTACTGATTCAAACGCAAAAGCCAGCCAGATGACCCTCCTATTTCTGGTCACCCCACCTTCAGCGTGTGCAGGTGTCTGGCGCTGGTAGATGTAAGAGCTACTTGGGAGGTCATGACACTCTGGGATACTCTTCAAGTAACTTTGGAGTGAGTACATTGCTGAGGAAGAAACACATAGCCAGCCATGTGAAACCTTAACATTACAGATGTAAAACAGATATTCAATAATTTTTACATGGCTGTATAAGAAAATTATCACCGGACAAAAATGGAATTCTTACACTAATACAGTGAGGATATGATAAATACATTTTTAACTGCTTTACAGTAGCCTGGCTCAAAGTAAATAATTTAGTACACATTGTGGTGGCATTTCTTATTACAGATTATGGTGACACTCTATTCACCATTAGGGACACACTATGGTGACTCTACACTCACCATTAGTATACACTATGGTGACTCTACTCACAATTAGGACACATTATGGTGACTCATCTCACCACACTATGGCGACCTTCTACTCACCACTAGAGACATATCACACAGAAATTTTACTCACTACTTGGAACACATTGTGCACTCCCAGGCTGAACCAAATCTGTATTGTTGGCCAGCAGCTTACAGATCACACAAAGTTCCTTTAAATACTGCAGGTTCAAGTTTTTCAAGTTGAAAGAATCCCCAAACTTAGGATCAAAAATTGCTGTGCTCTGTGACAAAAGCAAAACATAAGGTAAATGACTATTAGTAAAGTCAATTTACATCTATAAAATAAGGACAACACCTACATAAAGAGACAACCAAATGTAAACTATTATGTGTTTCTCCCATACTTTTACATTTGAGTGTCAATTATCTTAATCCACTGCCTTCTAGCCCCTTTTCATCTACATAAAACCAACATATCCACAACCACCTTGCAAATAGTTTTATGTGGCCACTCATCCTAAGTAGGCCTAATTTCTGCCGTATCATTTCTAAAAAACGAAATGACTTTTTTAACCGAATCTAAAAAACAAATGGAATTTTATTAAAAAAAAAAATAGTTTGGTTAACATTATAATGAAAATTTAGCCAAAACCAAAAAAAAACAAAATACTGACCTTGAACTGTTCCATGACATGACCTACATCATCCCTGGACCTGTTGACACCTGTGATACCAAACACAACATAGACTGTAGCACCAGACATCAGGATTGGCCTGTCTTTGAGATCATTACAAGACTGTTCTTGGCATGGATCAAAGTTTTTACCAACAGATGTGGTGTTGAGTCTTTTTGGTGTCGTCCCTTTATTTAAAAAATAAAAGATAAGGAATTACTGTGATTTCAGTTTAAAATAATGAGTTCCTTTTTGCCCTATAAAGACTTTTATTTGTCACTCTACATAATTAACATTTTTAATCTTATTTTCTTTCTTTTTTATTTGGCAAAGAAACATCACTTGTTTTCTTCCTAACAGTTAAGTGCATTTCCATAACAGATTTTTAAAAAGTTATTAAAAAATAGTTACAAGCTAAACCTCAACGATTTACCTGATTATTTTATTATTACATTCATACATAAAACTGCATTATGGAAGTTATAACTGTATGATACTAATCACTAACAGATTTAATAGAAAATATAAATTTATGTCATTTTAAAAATAAATATGGCCTACTTTTAGTTAAGGCCAGCTAACTTAAATTACCTGGAGTTTGTGTGACATCAGGAAGAGGTGGGTTTGGGGCATGTTGATTGTCAGTCGAAGGCACATAGACTGGCAATGATTTGGGTGTTATCTTAACAGGTTCACTGGTTGTAGTTGTTGTTGTAGTAGTTGTGGTTGATGGTGCTGACCCAGGGGATGAGAGAGATGAAATGAGGGTGGATATACTGGCAGCAAACAGCTTGAATAAAGCTGATTTGGTTTGATTGGAGAAGTCAAACAGAGTCTGGGCGAGAGGTTGGAGGGACTTAATGTTGAGGGTCTTGTCTGCTGTGATGATGTTGATGGTTGGTGTTGGGCTTGTCTGGGGTGGATCTGTTTTGTGCCCAGTGCCTGGATGCACCTGAAAAGTTTCAAGCAAGTAAATCATATTTACAGACATGTCACAATGTCATCAGGTCTATCAAAAACATTTTTATAAGGAACAGTGCCAGCCAAATGAAAAAGAGGCAGGCAAAAGAAGAAATGGGAAGATAACATTAGGGAATGGATGGATTTGACGGTTCCCATAAAAATGTGCAAACGGAAAAATGCAACAGCAAAATTGGCTCAAACAGAAACAAACAAACAAACTATACTAATGCACATTAATTTTGCCATTTTTCTTATGGAAATTGCTACAATGTACTTGTGGTCATTCTTTGCTAACTTCTATAAATAATCCATTGAAAGATAATAATTTCCCTTTTGCACATTTTAGTGCACATTTTTCTGTTGCATAGTTTTCTGGGAGAGAGATTCACTGAGGATGGCAGAAGAGAAAGTGGAATGGAAGAAATGATCAGAAGGATATTAGTGGTGCACCAACAGCACAGAAGAAGAGGCTTTTAAGTAAGGCTAAAGTAAAAACTAAAATAATTAAGAGTTTTTTCGGGGTTGACGTGGTCGAGTCGGTAAAGTTCATGGTTGCTAAACCGAAAAGTCTCGAGTTGGAACCCTAGGGCAGATGAGGCTCGTTAGCTGGGGACAGCCACTCTTCTAGGAGAGAAAACTCCAAAATCAAACATCTTCTGCCTTGTATTTTGTTCTTGGTTTGATAAAGGCTATGGAAGCAAATCCAACAATAAAAGCAGGCTGAAATCAGGAGTCAACTGCCTAAATGGCGCATAACCAGTTGACACATAATACTTAATTAATTGTGTAGGAGGGAATCCCTTCGAACACTAAAATTAAGTACAAAAAAGAAGATGTAGAAGTTATTCAATTTTCTTTTTGATTTTCCTCTCACCCACTCCTTACCTAACTCTACATCATCCTAAGAAGTCAGAACATCACATGAAACATGAATGAACAACATACTTCAGTCTACTCCCCTTTTTCCCCTAACAAAATTTCAATATCTTATCTTACTTTCAAAAGATAGTTAAGTGCTTTTTCTCTTGCATACAAAATGTGTAAGCCACATAAGTGGTGGTACACTCACCTTATAAAAAGCAGAGCAGGTATCACAGTGGATAGCATCAATGATGGTAAAATTAGCCTTCAGGTCTAAAAGTTGTTGGATGTTGGTGTCAGGGCGGAACAGCTGTGGTGGGTGGGTAGCAGGGTGCAGCTGGGACATCAGGTAGACAGACGCACATAGTACTGCCAAGTAGAAGCCTGTAAAGATACGTACAAATAACTGTGCAATGGAACTCTAAAAACTCCATTATTTTTGTTTTTCTAAAAATGATGGTATGGCAATTCAGTATTACAGAAAGTTTTTTTTTTCAACTAGTATAGGTCTATTGTTCTAGGATTAAGTGTCAGGATTAGCTGGCGTTCCAATGAATTATTTTTTTAACAGAAAACTTCTACAATATTTTAATTGTTTCAAGTAAACAAATAGAAACTAATTGAAACTGATTATTCAGAAAATGTATAAAATCTTGATTTTTTGAAAGTATAATTTTTTTTCCAAATCTTTTACTCCACCATAACACCAAACATGTTAACCATAACACCAAACATGTTAACCATAACACCAAATATGTTATCGCTGTTAAAAATTGTTACTCTCCACAACACTTACCAATAACAAAATATCTTCCCCTGATTGCTATATGGTTGGTAACAAACATGAGCATTTTCTGCATACATCTACCTAGACATACATTCTGGTCGTGGGGCTCATTGCTGGGTGTGGCTTCTTGGTCATTACTAGTGGACAGTGCACCTTGGTCACTTCTGTTAGTTCCCTGTTGGTCAAGCACTGCATCAGAAGAAAATCAGATTTACTTATTTTACAGGATGGCATGGTCAAAAGGTAGAACTGGTGATTGCAAGCCCTAATATCTACTGTTTAGTTCCTTTTGTATTTTGGGTTCACAGAAACAAATAAACTTATTCAAGCAAGTGGATCCCACCTTCCCCAGGTATCAATAGCTACTTAGCTTTTACTAAAGTTACTTTAAAGAAGTACCTCATGTAATTTAATCTTTCACATGATTAATTTATGCAATGAATCCCATATAATAATGTATATAAAGCAGTTTTATTTGGAGTTGTGTATGTTCAATTCGAGAAGCTCCATTCTTTAATTACATTTATAAATTTTAGAAAAAAAAAACTTGGGGGTTATTCAGATTAGGAATGTTATTATTTTAAAAATATAAGCTCTTAGCAATAACACCTTGCAAATGTTTTATATAATGATTACATCACACCTAGAAAATTACCTGTGTGTGTTGCTTGTTGTGGAGAGACCATGTATGGATCTTCCATTATCAGCATGTCATCATCATCCATGCTTCCAATGTCCTGGTCCTCTGTTCTTGTTGTGACATCATCAACTAGTGACCAATACAAACAACATCAAATGTCACTTCCAGCTAACAGATTACAATCACCAACATGAACTCTACTACACTTGCCCCATGGAACACCAGGTTTGAGAGAACTTTACTTAGGTGACGCCGTGGTCGGATGATAGAGATTACAACTGCCAACCCAAAAGTCTCGAGTTCGGATCCCAGGTTCAAGTCTGTAAGACGTCACTGACTCATGTTAGGGTAACAAAGTCAGTTGGGCATAGATCAGAATGCACTATCCCTCTTATGCTGAGGTTACTGAAACAGATTAACTCTACTTCATTTGCCCCATGTGTTTTGGGTACTAACAGGAAAAGATGATGAACATCTCAAAACATATCATCTTAATCTTTAAAAAAGACTTACAATCGATGTCCAGCAAAGGGACATCATCTTCCTGGTACAGCCTCCGGTCACTAGATTGCTGCTGGCTGTAGTAGTGCAGGTTTGTCTCTACTTGGTTCTTCTTTGTTTTACATACAAGACACCTGAACAACAAATATATGAACCTTAAGTAAAGGAAACATTATATCATGGTGTGAGCTGCAAATACAAGAAGTCCTTGCTGAAGAACCAAACTGAGGTGAAATTACTGTGAACTATTTAGACTTATTTATGCATGATACATTAGAATTATGAACTCTTTATATTTTTTATGGATTAGATACATTTATATATGAGTCCTTTGAGCTTACATGCACTCAAATAAACAGAACAAAAAATCTGGAATATGACACATTTTTTTTGGGATGTCATTTGTACATTTACAGATCTCCCAGACTAACAGTTAACTCATTTACCTCACAGGTTTGTAAAATTACCACAGGCATAGTGATCCACTCCATAGCCTGGTGGAACTATCAATTCCCATCACTTTGTATAGTTTTGGATGCATTCAGGGGCAAATATTTTAACACTAAAAGCGGGTTGACAAAACAGACGTTCTAACACATTTTATATTTGTAATACATATTCTCTTTTCTAATTATCAAAACATTTTCTACACACCAGTCAGTTGAATATCCGCCTCTCACATAACCCCCCCCCCCCCTCCCCCAATTTTTTCACCAGGCGAGGAAGCTATTTACCATTTACAGGGCCTAAGCAATGTTTTTTTTTAGATGTTACATAACCAATGTAGAAAGCACTTGAACCAGTCTGTAAAGCCATGTAGCAGCCTATTTTTATAACACTGTGCACAGTTCCCATTTGCAGTTCAAAATGAGATGCTAATTATTTTTTTACCCCCTCTTAGTACCTGTATAAGTTTGGTGTCTGTGGCAGCCCCCACCCTCTCCTAGATAGGCATCTGACAGTTAGTTAGTACATGTCTATTCATGAGTTGACTACAGATAATACGGGCACTTTATAAGCCTGTAGCTGACTTAATACAGGTACTTGACATTCATTTAATCCAGGTACCTAACATACCTGTAGACTGACTGTTAAAACCTGATATGTCTGGTAACTGACTGGTAAAAATTACTTTCCCCCAGTTTCTAAAATTGTTTTTGTATCCTTGTCCAATGCCTAGAAGTTGCCTGAGGCAAAAATCATTGGAGCATGTCAGTAGTTCAGTCAGGCTACAACAACACTGGTGTTTATACATTCAAGCATGGATTAACATTTGTGACAAGTCTGTATCATATTTTAATTCTCCCATTCCTACCACCCCACTTAACAGCCATTAAAAAGTACAGAGGTGATGTCCTGCCCCCAATAACAATACTATAATAGCTGGTTTATAAGGATTAATCTATTGTAATGGTTAACAACCTAGTAGGCTATAACTTGACTGTTGTAATGGTTTTCAACCTGGTATAACTTTTGATAGGTTGTTTAGTTTACTTAAGGACTAGTTACAAAATAATTGTCTGACTGTGTGGTCTGATGGTAGAGTATTCAGCTCTAAACCCAAAAGATTAGTTTGGATCTGTACGATGTCCCTAAGTCCACCTAGCTAGAGCTGAGTACCTGACTCACTTTACTGAAAACAAAGGCGGCTGGTTATTGTGCTGACCACTCTATCCCTTAATATGCAGAGGTCACAGAAAGAGGGGAACTTTACTTCACCTGTCCCATGGACTGTTTCAAAAGGGTACTTTAATTACTTTATATTACTACATGATTCTTTGCAAGATGTTACTGTAGTTTGCTTTTTAATATAGGAATATTTATCCTTTGATTTTATTCATCCATCAAAAACTAAATAAATATTTATATTATTTTTACTAATCTTTTTTTTTTGCGTAGATGTATTTGTTCAGAAACGGACAATGAATTAACCATTCATTTCAACTACACCAACAAAAATATATTAAGCAGTTGAACTTGAATTATTTAGTAATATTCCATGCAGCACGCTAGTGCCTCAGGGTACAATCAAGGAACAAGTCCAGACACATTACACTGACAGCCTAATTAATCAAACACTGATTTAATCACCTAGAGATTTTTTTTTAAACCTCACTTGTCTGTACCAGTATAATTTTTTAAGGTGATGTAAATCTCTTACATCTTTACAAGATGATACATTTTATGACATGCATTACCTTAAGTCTTTTATACCCAATAAAACATTTTATTTCTTGTTATCAACTTACATGGATTTATGTATTTAAATAAAAAGATCTTTATAGAGAAAAATGGTGGCTTAGTAAGCTGTCATTGAATAAAATGTGTATGAACAAACAAAGGATAGACAAAACAGACCAGTCTTAGCCAGGCTGTGGTGTTTGTTTAAGCCTAGGTTTTAGCGTTTTATCCCACTGAATCAACAAACTTTTACAATATGTCAAGGAACATTTGAATATTTAAGTGTCTTTTACAATCTGTAGCATAAAATAAGGAATTTTTAAAACCTAACTTGGTACTGTAACAACTCTCGTTGATAATTGACTATGTTAAGCTTAGATTCTTGGAAGCTTTTAAACATTCAATAAAGTAAATACATTTCCATCGAAAGATGAACCAGTAATTTTGACATTCGATCAATATAAATGAATGTACCCATTATTAAATCATCATTTCCGGTTTGTGCCCAAGACACGTGGGGCAGAAGAAGTAGAATTCATCTGCTTCAGAGACCTTGGCATATGAAGGGATAGTGTGGTCAGCACTATGCTCTGCCACCTTTGTTTCCCTAACATAAGTTAGGTACCCATCAAAGCTGGGTGGACTCAGGGACATTCCACTGATTTGAACCCAGATTCAAACTCAAGACTCTCAGGTTGGCAGTCTAGCTCTCTACCGCTAGGCAATGCCGTCCCTAACCACTATTTAATATAGACTGGAAATTAGCTTTGAAGATGTGGAACACTTTAAACTACCAATATGACTAATTATATTTTACCATGCCAGATGTAGATAAAAATGTGAGAATTACTGCCTGCAATAAACAACCAGCTGTTCTCAGTCAATAATTTCCTTCCAATAATACATGGATAAGAACTTTAAACAAGTTTAAGAAGTATGTAATTACATTGTACTGAGTGAGTGTTTACTAGGCTATCATGTTAAGGATGTTTACCATTCAAACAGCTTATCTAACAGGGATAGTTTTATCTGATTTGCTGTAAGACAAAAATGTCGAAGTATACTTACGAGAGTAAATAGGTTTCAATAGGCTCAAAGAAGCAAGCATAGAGGTATAAGGCTGGTGGCATGAGAACAAAAACTGAGATCCAACATGTGGAGACAATCAATGACATGAACAAACCAAAATCATACACGGCTGGAATCTGGAAAACAAATATTAAATTGGTTCGATTAGTGAAAGGTCTGTAATTGTCAAACTGAAATACAACTGTCTTATTTGTTAAACAACTTTCCATTTGAAATTATGTCTAGATCTAGTAGCATGTCTTTCATAGTTTATTTAACAGCTTTTTAGGTTAGTTATACTTCTTGAGCTATGAATTTTGAAAAACTTGATATTAGTAAAACTAGTAATATACTATATTGTATGATTAGAAAACACAAAAACAACTAAGTATTAAAAACTAGCAGAATAATCATAATAATAAATGAACACTTATTAAAATAGCGCTAGACTGCTAACCCGATAGTATCGAGTTCGAATCCAGGCTCAAGTTAGTGGAATGTCCCTGAGTCCACCCAACTCTGATGAGTACCTAACTCATGTTAGGGAAAGTAAAGGCGGCTGGGCATAGTGCTGACCACGTTATCCCTTTATATCCCGAGGTCAAGAAACATATGAACTCCACTTCATCTGCCCAATGGATTGTTAGGTAAGAGGAATTTTTACTTACTTTACTTATTAAAAATGAAAAAAATGGTAGAGCTTTGATGAATTAAACAAATTTTTAGTAATGAAATGTAAATTGTAATGTTTGCCTAAACGTAACAAAACCAATGAAGCTACAACTTTTACAAGCTAACTGATATGGATATTAACTCACAGAGGACGCAATATTGGCAGCAAAAGCAGCAGCTGTGGTGAAGGATGTAAAAAATGTGGCGACACCTGCTGTCTTGATTGTGTACACAATCCTTTTCACTGTGTCGCCAATGTGTGATGCTTGGCGGTAGATGTTCATAAAGACAAAAACATCATCTACTCCTGGTCAGAGTAAGACAATACAAAAATGTTCACAATTCAAAAATTCGTGATCCTATGGTATTAGGTGACCTAAAAATCTTAGTTGTAAGTTTAGATTAAATGATTAAAAGCTATTCTAGGTTCAGCAGATGAGAATGAGACTTGTAAACTAACTAGCTTTTTAGATTCAACTATATATTGTAAAAAACAAACTCAACAAAATTCAAATTGAAACAAAACATTAAACTCAGTCAAACATAACAACAAAATTACATTAGCATGTACCATATGTTGCAATCATTTGACCCAATATCAAACGCAGGTCACACTAAACTTTTAACATGTACAGTATTGACTATGTAAAGTTTTTAAAAACGTGTTATATTTTTAAAAAATACAAGGTTGTTAATTTATCTTCTGTCAAATCAGTACACTAAATTCTCCCAGTAAACACATTGTATGTTTCAGTATGGATGAGTGGTAGAGCAAACAATTGCTAACTAAAAAAATTGTGAGAATCGCTCCACTGAATATGTTGCTCCCAAGCCCCTTCAGGTGTGATGAGCGCCCTACTCAAGTATGATTAAAACTTCATATGCTAACTGATAACCTCTACTTCATCTGCTCTATAGACAGAAAGTTGCTTCAATTATAAGTAAATTTTAAAATCTCAACAGATACTTACCTATTCCAATAATGACAAAAGCGGCTGCTCCATTCAGAATTCCTAAGGCATCAATACCAAAAACAACACGGTAGAAAAACAAGGAGATGGGAAAGCTCAGTGCAATGATCACAACACCAACGACGGTGAGAAACAGGGATAAGGACAGCACCAGCATCAAAATAAATATAGCAATCAAAGAGATTATTGCAAGACGGACATCGCTCCAGAATGACATGGTGACCTCATAGTCGAAGATTTCATTCCCGCCGTACAAGACTTGGACCTTGCTGGAGAAAAAAAATAAGAGTAGGCTTTTATGGTTTAAAGAGATGAATAATTCTTCAATAATTCCAGGCAATCAAATTGTATGGAAAACAAAAAAAAAAATTCTGAAACTACGAAGAAACAAATCTGGCATGCTGACATTCTTTTTTCACAATGAACAATAAAATATTGGTGAAAGCATAGTTTAACAGTTGAATGTGTATTTTCTAATACACAAGTTATGAATGTTTTACAGAAACCCCCATCCCCCACCCTAAACACACACAATTTGCCAAACAGGGAAGAAGAAAAGGTGGAATCAAACTAGTCATAGCAACTGGTAATATAGGAGCCAGTAATAATCATTTTTACATTGAATTGCTAAGTGTATTGCTGAAAAGCATTTCTCTAGAAAAGAGGAGAATAATCAAGAACTTTTCATTAATATGAAAATAAAACTGATCTTGATTTTTTGTTATAATAATACCCCCAACTATTTTAAATCAAAGTTTTTAGTGTTAAGCTGGTCAAGTCATGACAAAAATACAATTAATTAAGCTCATTAACATTTTAGATATAGGTTACAATTTTCTCAGATGCTATTTATAGATTTATGTCTGAAGGCTAAGTATTTCTGGGCTTGTCTAGCCAGGTCATGACAGTGCATCCTTGAAGGGCAAAATGAAAGATTGTATTCAAGCTATCACCTACACTATCCCACGTCTTCAAAATTTGTAATAAAAGATACAGTTACTTGAAACATCAAAACTACAACAAGGAGCAAACTAAGTGCTTCCCCCTCCCCACTCACAGAAATTATGAACTTACTCTGTTGAAGCTTTTGATAGCATGTTGATATAAGTAATGACAAAGTTCTTGAACTTTTCATCTTGATCTTTTCTATGATCACCATTACATGGAAAACCTGAGAGAAACAGGGATTTTCTACAGTTCATAGATAAATCAGATAGATGGAGTGGGTTGAGAGCAAGGTGGAAGATATGGTTTTATTACACTATGCTAATTCCTGGGGATGATGTTTACGACTCTTAACCTCCAAGTTCAGATCCTGGGTTCAAGTCTGCATGATGTCACTGAGTACACCCAACTCTGATTAGTACCAGACTCATATTAGGGAAAATGAAAACAAAGATGACCACACTATTAATCAAATTTTGAGGTCATTGAAATTGGTGAACTCTTCTTCATCTTCCCCATGTGACTTGGGAACAAATGAGAAAAGATGATAATGTTGATTCATGCTTATGTTTTGTTATTAAAATTTTTAAAAGAAACATTTTTTATTACATGGCTACATTTAAAATTATGAAATATGATGAAAACTAAATTTAATCAACTGTGCTAATATCTCAGTAGAAAGAGCATTGGGCCGAGACTTGTAATATAAATGTTATACTATTTACGTTTCATCCATTAGTTATAATATTTAAGTTTATATTTCAGTTTAAAGTTAAAGGTGAGGTTCATTGTAATCAAGCTAGTAAAAAATGTGAGGTGAATGCTCATTGTTACTGGCCCAACACCTTTTGACTGGTCTTCTTTTCATGCAGGATCCTTACTGCACTGTTTGCTTTCAGGTTTTGTCTGTTGGCTTTGTGTAAAACAATGGAGGCAATTAGGGTTCAGGGATCAAGAACAGCAAATATACCTGTTCTACTCTCATCTGCATGCTCTGTCTGCTTTTGAATGGCTGGGGTATACTAAACTTTTATACAATTGGGTATAAATAGAAGTTTTAAAATTTATGTTTAGAATACTCTCTATTATAGGAAACATTTGTAGCTTTATTAATAGCAAAGATAATGTGTTAATAATTTATTGGTCATAAGAGCTTTGTTTATTTACTGCATATAAAACAGTCTATACATGTTTTATTAAAATACTGCCTTTTATGCAACCAATACAATTTTAACATACACCAAGACAGAAATGCTGTTCACTTCTGCCCTAGTAAATAACATAACATCCATTCTTTTTTTTTAAATGTAAAAAAAAAAAAACTTTTTGCTTCAAAGCAAAAACAAGTTAATTAAATAATCTAGTGACATTTAAGTGCAATATTCTTATGTTATCTAAAAATAGCTCTGTCATAGCGTAAATCAAGAGCAGGGTTAGTAAAACCATTGATTAGTTATTAAAACGTTTTTTATAAAAAAAAAATTTCAGTATTTTACATGTTTTATTTACAATAGAGTTACATGACTAAAAACCATTGCGCGCCTAGCTACCGAACGTGATGTCGCAGCCATTGAACGTGATGTCGCAGCTATTGAACGAGATGACGCGTGTGGTGTGGTTGGATAAAAATGCCTACTAATTCTGTCCAAATTTTAATTAATTCAAAAAAATTTTTTTGACCGAACGAAAGGATATTTTTGTGACCGAACGAAAGGATATTTTTGAAAACTTTCTTCGGCAATATTGTTCTAAATTATGGCAGGAATCGATTGGTACATGTTTCAAGTCGCTAAGTGGTCTGGTTGCCGAGATATGGGCCAAAAACTGCATGAAAGAAACCTGGAATTTTTATGGCCTATGTTCATCCTCGTAACTTGCTTAACATAATTGCTTTTGGAACTAGTCCTCGATATTGCTTCGTTGAGGAGGAGATACGACTTAAAGCTGCGGACACACATTCATTCATCCATCCATTCATCCATCCAGAAATGACGGGTTAATAAACGCAATTCTCCAGAATGGAAATTGCGCTAAAAAAATAATTCAACTTAAATTAATCAGAAACAGATGAATGTAAGCATAAGTTGCTCCAACATCAAACTGTTCGACAGACATGTTTATATAACATGTTTCTGGTATGTTTTTTGCTTGCACTTGGCCAATTCACGAATTAGTACAATAGCTAATTGTAGTTACAAGCAGAGGTAGTTACTTGGGAGAATCTCTATAAATTATATCAATGTAACATATTTGTTTTCATGTTTTTGTTGTGTTGAAAAAATAATTGTATATTATATAGAATCTATCAGGGCCATTATAAACATCACTTGGGCAAATACCTTGTGCAGCCAAAATATTTTTACAATAGTGGTTAAACAGACCAATGACTCCAATTGCGGTACCTAAACAAAGGTAATGTATAACAATTTGCTGCAGACAATACAGACATAATACAGATGTGGACCAGAAATAATGGTATACAAAATAATCTCAGCAACCAGCTATTTAATAAATTAAGTTATTGCTACCATGGTATTATAATGTGTAATAATGTGATTTAAAATACTTGAGTAATTTAACAGAAAAGGAAGTCTTATTAAGAAATATAAAATACGTAATTGGAGAATACAAATGGCTTTCAGATATCAGGGCAAAGAATTTTAAAATTTAAGTAAGATTAAAAATGATGAAAAACCTTACCTTGTAAAGGTGCACCAAACAGTACTTCAGACCTGAGCAGATGACTTTTTTGATAGGTTTTATTGATCTTATCATCCACATAATAATAAAATGTTTCGTGGTTCATGGCCAGCCTGAGAGCACTGTGGATATCTTCAACAATGGTGCCCATACCATCATAATAGATAGTCCCCAATTCATCTTGTGAAGGGAAGAAATATGTCAACAGTGAATTAGGTGGTACACAGCCTTGCATGTTTTGTACTGCTGGGTCAAACTGTGTTGGGTCTCTCAGGCAGAAGTTATAAAACCCTGGGTGCTCTATTATTTTTTTCTCTATCACATGAGCGGTCTCAAGCCTCTCTTTGGTAAACATATTAGCCTCATTGTCTCCTTGAGCTAGGTATATCACATGCATCTTCCAGCGTGCTCTGCTTTGGTATTCATACATACACCCAATACTGCTAGATCTTTTTTCTCTGTGTGCACTACTTAAGTACTCATTATGATTTTCATTAAAGCCACCTCCTCCTGAAGGTACCACTGATTTGCTGTTCTTTTTTAACAAAGACAAGTCTAAATTATATTTTTTAAGAACAGCTTCTGTATGTTTTAAAGCCTCTTGCTCATCTCCAAAAGGCTCATCCTGTTTCCACGAATTTACAGTGTCCCTTTTGAATCTACCCGAAGAGTTATCCTTCCTTGCAAGCATCAGCGCTTCAAAGTGCTGATATGCAGCATGGTTTGGGATACTGAAAGACTTGACTGATTTGTCAATGACCAGTTTTTCTGGCTTGTAGATGATAAGGCTGTAGCAGCCGAGCCCTACGTCCAGCCCGATGAAAGCCAGGATAACCAGTAGGGAAATGAATACAAGAGAACATCTACAAGTGGGGAATGACAGCTTGGGAAGGCCACAGCTGGTCACATTTGATGGGTTAGAGTGCGATGGTTGTGGTGGCACTTCAGGAGTAGGAAAACCTGGGTACGAGATTGCTAATGTTGATGAATTAAAATTCCTGCTTTGATGAAAGACTGGTTCAATATGGTCGTTCTGCTGATGGCCATTAGTTAAATCCCTACATTCAGCAGGGTTCTGTTCATACTCCCCCATTAGAATTTCTGCTTCCTCACACTCATCTGAGTTGGAGACTGGCTCCCAACTATGGTTTGGCCTGTTACCAAATATGGAGAACCACCTCATGTTGAAGTCTGAAAAAAAAATTTGAGAAAAAAAAACTGTGTAGTCCTACTTGTGAACAAATAGAAAGCAACTTTGAAATTGTACTTAACAACAACTAAAATAATCCTTGACTGCCTGGTGTTTACCAAGTTGGCTGACATATCCAGTCAATCTATAAAAAAAAAAAGATATGCTTGACTGATTTTCTACTTCAGTCTGTCATTAAACTTTTTATCAGGCTTTTTAATATGTGTATATTAAGCTAGTAGTATTATACATAAACTATGCCGACTGCTTTATTTAAAACTTTCAAATTAAAACCAATTAGATATACATATGCATTTTCAAAAAGATTTATTAAAAGATTCACTTGTATTAAGGTAACTCAAATCTGATTTGACAGATATTTCATACTTTAAAAAACTGACAACTCTTCAGCATACAAATAGATCTGACATAATCAATTAACACTGCAGTGCTTGACAATAAAAGCCAAGGCAATCAACAAACACCACGCAGCGTTATAATTTATTCCTGCCAAGCTGAATGGTCTCAATTTAAAATCAATTCTGTAGCTTTGACATTTCAAAGAAAGACAGCTTATGTATGTATTTACAATTTTAAAAAATAAATTAATGAATTATATATTTTTACACATGATTTCATTTTGGAGGATTAAATTATATGACATGTGTTATTGAATGAAAAATGAATTATAGTTCATATTTTTAAATAAGAATTTTTTCTGTATGAAAGCCTAATGCTTGTATTTGTGTAAAACTGTTTGAACAATTTTCAATCCCAGTAATAACACTTAAAATGTAAACTTACTTCCAGGCCCGACAATAGACAGTTAATCAACAAAATCTATGAATCTAATGTTTACATATTCAACATCAACTGAATATTGACCATTAGCCTTACAGTGGAGCTAAACTAGCAATTTATCATTTTCATGATTGATGTTAATGTTTATAGTCTAAAGGGTTTTTATTTAAGTTTATATTTTAATATATTATCTAATAAAAGGTTTTTTTTGTCTTCTGCCAAAGGAGTTTTAGTAGGCGTGTTAGACAGGGTAACAAAACTAACAGAGCCCCGAAGGCCGTCTACTGCACACTATTACAAAATAGAATTTATATAGAAAATATACTTTTACAAGTGCCCCCTGCCTCTTATTTAAGTCTGAAAGAAACACTGGTCACATTTGTAGGTCATACGGCTAGACCCTACTTCTATAATATAGACCTGTTTCCTACTTTTGGACACTGGGGGGCTGAAACTATAAATTTCTATTTAAATTGTTTTTGTTTGGGGGGGGGGGGGGGTTAAGATGCTTAGATGCCTGAAAGCAACTCTACATGCAGATCACTTTTAAGATTAGACCAATCAATTAGGTGTTAATGTTAGTGTTTTTATTATCAAGTATCAATGATATCATTATTATTGTGTATTTATTTTGGCAATGGCTTTATAATTCGATGGTTACTCTAGAATCAATGACGTCATTTTATTATTATGTGTACTTTTTCAGCCTTAGAACTGTACATATTTCGTTTCATTTTTAAAACTTTCCAGAAGTTCCATATGACATCATGGTCTTTCACTATGCATCTTTCAAATTTCTTTGTGTTTTCTCTAGAGCATTCCCAACAGACAGACAGAAAAGCTAAACTATTATAGTGATTCTAATTTTTATGGATAACGACCACATACAGCAATGTGACGGAGTGGCCTAGTGGTAGAGAGCTGGACTGCTAACCCAAAAGTCTCAAGTTCGAATCCAGGTTCAAATCAGTAGACTGACTCAGTTCTGATGGATACTTAACACACGTTAGGGAAAGTAAAGGTGGCTGGGCATAGTGCTGACCACACTATCCCTTCATATGCCGAGGTCACAGAAACAGGTGAACTCTACTTTACTTGCCCCATAAACTGTTGGAAGGGGAACTTTACCAAAAACAGCTATCATTGCTTGTATCACTTACTCTCCAAATCCAGTCTGACACGCCAAACTCTACTTTATTTGCATCATGCTTTGTCAGGTTTGAAAAGGGATTACTTTTTAATATTACACAACATTATTAATATTAATTGTATATTTTTAGATGTGTGATCATGTTTTCTAGAACATGAGTTAATTATTATATATTATTTATTAAACTTTAAACTAATCTAGACTAATCTAGACAATCTAGATCTAGAAATCTAGATTCTCTAGATCAAAATAAATAATGTTGCCAATATCATCATAATCATAAATAGACATAATATGTCCTTGGATCTCAGTTGTTGAGGCTTTGATTGTCCACACTACCCCCCCCCCCCCCCCCCCCCCCCCCCATTGCATGCCCCAGGGAGTGCTGTATCTCATTTATTTAGACAATCTAGATCTAGATCTAGATCTAGAATATGTAGGCCTACGGCTACTTATTGTACTAAATCTAGCTAGATTTAGATCTAGATCTATGTTATGTAGATATGTAATATTTTAAACCTTGTGAGTTTACCATTCGTTGATGAGCCCTGCAAAAAATCTAGATCTAGTTGAGATAGATCTAGAATCTAGATCTAGATTCTATATCTCTAAAATCTAGACTAATGTATACTCACAATTTCCTTTTCGATCAAATTATAAATGACCACATATTGATAGCAGACGTTTAAGCTCAGTGTTACTGTTCAGTATGTCACAGTACGTGTCGTCTGGTCTTTGTTATTATTTTGGTTTGCGCTGTTCTGTTTATGTTCCGGACGTCTGCTAAGGCTAAAGATGTGCCCACGAACCTCTGACGTCACGTCAGCGGGTCTGAACCGTTCAACTGTTTAGCCTAGAGTGGCCTAGATATAGGACATCTCTAAACACGTCAAATTCTGATCCTGTCCGTTTTGATTTTCTCTTGTATAATTTTAAAAAAAAAAAACTAGATTTAGAATCTAGATCATAATATTATGAAAATAAAACATCATTGACGATTTTCACGCTCCTTTATTCAATAATAATTCAATGCAGATTTTTATTTCTTTATAATCTTCCTGCTGTTTCAGTTTGGTAACAACTTACTTTTAGTTGAGCTTGTAAAAGAAAATAAACTAATAGACTTAGATTCGAGATCTAGTCTATATCTGTTTTTAGTTTTATTTCCTTTACTTATAAGCTTAGGCTATATATTTTAATTTTCGTCATCAGAACCAGACGAATTTTACGTAGGTCTACTCAGAAGCGTAGCAAGGGGTTTGGGTGAGGGCGGACCGCACCGGATGACACCATTTAGGAGCGTGACACCAAGGCAAAAGTAGCAAAATAAATATATTTTAAAAATTATCTTTCCAGTTAATTAATGATTTGTAAGAGTTAAATTGTCTTTTAAGAGCAAAGTTGACAATATTTTTTTCTTTCGGGGGTGGGGGGGGGGGTGCTGACACCATTAGGTGCCGTATGGGTGACAACAGACCTAGCGACGCCACTGGCTACTGAGCGTACTGATAAAGTAAAATGGGCAATATCAACCTGGAGAAAACAATACGTATTAACATATGGGGTCAATATTTAGCCTCGGAGGGACGGAGTGGTCTAGCGGTAGAGAGCTGGACTGCTAACCCGTTAGTCTCGAGTTCGAATCCGGGTTCAAGTCAGTAGACCGTCCCTGAGTCCACCCAACTTTGATGGGTACTTAACTCACGTTAGGGAAAGTAAAGGCGGCTTGGCATAGTGCTGACCACACTATCTCTTCATATGCCGAGGTCACAGAAACAAGTGAACTCTACTTCACTTGCCCCATAGACCATCAGGTTTGAAAGGGAAACTTTACTTTTTACTTACTTATTTAGCCTCAGAGGCATCGCGTGGGGGGGGGGGGGGGGGGTGCGGACCGCACCGGGTATATATATATATATATATATATATATATATATATATATATATATATATATATATATATATATATATATATATATATATATATATATATATATATATATATATATATATATATATGGGGCGGCCGCCCCGGGTGCCGACCTTAAGGGGGCGCCAAATTGGGTAGAAAAATAAAATAAGCTTATTCCGAGCTGCATTACAGTCGAATTTAAGAAAATAGAAGGCTAATTGGTTCTACGGGCGGCTTTCTACAATGCTTGTGTGATACGGAAAAAAACTATTAACGGTGGCTGTGTGTGTGTGGTGGGGGGGGTCCTTTTTCGCTTACGTGGATTAATATATAAATATGGGGGGTGCAAATTTAATAGTTCGCCCCGGGCGCCGAAAAGGGGTTGCTACGCCTCTGCTACGCACCGGGTGATACCTGACCTTGCTACGCCACTGTATAGCCTGTATGTCTCAGGATTATAATCTACTAAAAAGAGCCTAGGTAAATGAAAGCCACCATACCAAGTAGGCCTTCAAGAACTGATTAAACAAGGTTAATCAACTAGTAACTTTATATATTCTGTATACTTTGTCCTGAGAATGATATATTTAATTTGTCCTTGAGATATTTAATCTGGAAATATTGTCCTAAGATAGGCCTAATTATTTTGTCCGTGCGATCAGTTTGCCTGAGATATTGTATGTAAGAAATGCTTTGTTCATGCGATCGTCCTGAGTTTCTTTGTCCATATAGGTCAAGGCCTATATATATACTTAAACAAATGCCTGTTCTATGACCCAAAACGGTTTTCAAGTCTGAGCTCATGTTTCAACAGCTAGCAAAATAATTCAAGCGGCACATTTTTTTTTACACCGAAATTCGTGTTTTAGCGTGACTTTTCTACGAGGCGATAGTGCGGGATTAATATTTTAGTGCATTTCAGCGGCACGTTACACAATTAGCTTGATTAGTGCTGTCTCTCGTTACACACTGAGTTGGGGATATAGCGCCCATCCGCCATTCCAATTTAACAAAATGTATTAAATTATTATTTTAAAAGTATTTTAAACCACATTTTCAAATTCTCCCCCTCTTTAAAAAAATTGTAAGCTAATTCTTCTACCACCCATAACTATGACAATTTTGCACAAATTATATTTTAGGGTAATCCTTGATAAGTTACTTCCCTGTGTATAGTTACCTCCCCTTTCACAACACAGAAACCAGACCAAACCAAGTGGTGACGCTAGTATAGGCCTGTTCTGAACTTCAATGTAAATGTTTCATTGTATGGCTGGCCGAGCGAGTTTAAGCATGATGTGAACATAGGACAGCAGTCCGTAAACAAAATCAATCGAACCGATACTGACTTCTAAAAATCGATTCGCAATAGTCTACACAGCCTACGAACGTCATATTGATGGAGTTAATTGAGTTAATGACGTCATTAATCAGCGTCGCATTGTTGACGCACTACTACATTTTGAGTCGGAAGTTTCTTCTAACCAAAAAAAAATGCCTTTCACTGTGTGGTACAGCCAGTATAAGATTGTCATTGTTCTCCAAATTAACATATCCGGCACTAGTAGTGTGTGTGACACCAACGTAAGAGCAGACGTAATACACGTAGCCTTCTATTCAGTACAAGACATGTGTAGTTGTAAATAAGATACCGGAATTTAAAAAAAAATATTTACGAACACCTACCATGTGCACTGTTATGGCCAGGAACTGTTTTAGTTACCATATTTTGCTATAGCAAACCACCAAAATAACACCGACAATGTTTGAAAAGTTATTAAGGATATGGGACCGTGCACAAATTAATGTATAAACACGAGAGGGGTGGGGGAATGATTTTTACCTTTTAATTACAGGATGGTGTGTCAGGTGGTGGAGGTCAAATTATGAAATATGCCCACACAAATTATAAGGAGTTCATTGTAATATATATTCGTGTGATCATGGGCGTAGCGAGGGGGGGCGGGGGTGCGGACCGCACCGGGTGACACCATTTAGGGGGGTGACACCAAGGCAAAAAATAGCAAAATATGTAGAGAAAAACTTGAGGGGGGGGGGGGTGCAAATCGAAAGTTTGAGGGGGGGGGGGTGCAAATCGAAAACTTGAGGGGGGTGCAAATCGAAAGTTTGAGGGGGGGGGGGGTGCAAATAAAAAATTGAAAGTTTGTCCCCGGGAAGGTTCGCTACGCCTCTGGGGGGGGGGGGGGTGACACCATTAAGTGCCGCACCGGGTGACACCCGACCTCGCTACGCCACTGCGTGTGATTATCTTAAGAAATGCTTGGGTATAGGCATATATATATATATATATATATATATATATATATATATATATATATATATATATATATATATATATATATATATATATATACACATGAAGGGGAGCTAAATAAAGGAATTTTGATTTGTCTTAGTTTAAAAAAACAAAGGGAAAAAAAGAAATATTCAGTAAAGTACAATTTAAGCGTATCTACACTATTCTATATTGTTATCAATCCATATAAAATTGAATTTGTTATTATCAAAAGGCAATTACAGTTCACGCAATAAAGATAGTCTATACATGATTTGATTTTGGTCAATACATGATTTGACTTTGGTCCATGCATGATTTGATTTTGGTCCATACATGATTTGACTTTGGTCCATACATGATTTGACTTTGGTCCATACATGATTTGACTTTGGTCCATACATGATTTGACTTTGGTCCATACATGATTTGACTTTGGTCCATACATGATTTGACTTTGGTCCATACATAATTTGACTTTGGTCCATACATGATTTGACTTTGGTCCATACATGATTTGACTTTGGACAAAGTGTAGGGGGGTGGGGGAAAGGAGTTAATTAGAAAAATTAACTTCCCTCTCTTTCATGTTTAAAAGGGGTTTGTAACCTGAACTTTATGAACTATCCAATATCGTTAGTAACAATGATTAGCTATGTATTCGACTAATTGAACCAGCAATAGTAAGCAGGGTTAACCGTAGCTTTAACAAGTATCTTCGTGTAAGGGAAACAACCCAATATTTCTTTGTTAAATCTATTAGCTTGGTTACATCCCTTTCCTTGTTAATTAGTTATGCAATAGTTTTATGTGCTCATTTTTCTGTTTGCACAATTTTCCGTTGAGCATTTTTTTCTTAGAACCAGCAAGACAAACATACACACTGGCCATACAAATCAAAATATAAAAACAAAAGCTTAATATTGCAGAGATCATGTATTTTATTGAGCAGTAGTAGCATGTGGTCTTCAACAAAATTTACACCACTAAAACATGATTCAGTGATCACTTAGGCAAATCAACAAATTAAAGTGTGGTGATGTCATTCCATTTTGATGATTCTACACTTATGTTGGCCTACATATTTTAACAAGTTCTTGCAAATTCTTTTAATAAAATCTGTTACTTTTAAAAAACGTAATTTCATCACTAAGACTGTTTTTAAACTGACAGCAGTTAAATAGGAAGTACAGTGATTAGCATCTTGTATAAAGTTTCCCTTTCAAACCTGACAGTCTATGGGGCATCTTGTATACATAAATAAATATTTGATTTCCTAAAGGCCAGATAAATTTGAATTTTTTTTTGGGCTAAGTCAGCTTGTAATAAAAAATTTACTTTTAATCTTGTTTCTGTTTTAAGTAAAAATGTACTTTTAATGTTGTTTCTGTTTCAACTAAATAATTTACTTTTAATCTTGTTTCTGTTTTAACGAAAAAAAATTACTTTTAATCTTGTTTCTGTTTAACTAAAAAATTAAAACTTCAAAAGTGTTAAATTTAATATTTTAAAGGGATATATTTTCAGCAACAGATTTTTTAAAAATACTTTATTTTTGCATGCAGGAGTCCTAACTTATAACCGAGGGCAGGCCTCAAAGTGGGCAGGCTTCAAAGCTGACGTCTAAAATTTCATATGATCCAAATTTGCCTTATTTAGACACTTATTTCTAAACATATAAAAGAAATAGTCCCTGGTTTTATAAGACACTGCCTTAAATTGTAACAGAAGTGAGAGGTATCAAAAGAGAATACCTCAGATGAAAAGTTAAAGAAATGTAAGACTAGAATACTTCAATGAGCTGGACGCCATTTTTCAAACACATAATACAAACTCAATAAAAATTTAATTACAACTGGAAAAAAAAATATTTCACAACCATACAAAAGTGTTGCACATACACCCTCTGACCAATGACATGCTATAAACATAAGCACCTGCACTATACATCACTTAAGAAAGGAAGGGAGTTAATTATTTATTTTAACAAGCAATATGAAAAAATACCAAATCAACCAAAGTGAATATTTATTTATGAAATTTAAAGCCTGTACTTTTTCAATAACAATTGACTGCCCAATCAATTACCAAATCAAAACTAAATCTTAAAATGCAGGTGGCAATGGATATAAATGTCATACAATTATAACACACACAACAGACAATTGAAAAGTTGAATTTCATGATTTAAAAAGAAAGCATTGACACTAAATATAACTGAACTGACAGCATAATAGTGAGTTCAGCATGCATACTAAATGTAATGTAGAAGATATGTACAAGGTACCTGAAGTATATTTAGTTATCCTACTCTGGAAATAGAAAATAGTGGGTTAAATAAAAATTTGTGAACCATTGATCAAAACAGTCAACCCTTACTTATAAAATAGAAAAGCTTTAAGTTAAGTTTAAGATATAAATAGTTCTGTTCATATACACATTGGTAAAAAGGGGAGTTAATCACAGAATTATTTTGTTGCATTGTGTTGTTAGCCTTTCCCGAGGGGAGGCAAGCACCCAAAATGTTTGTGAAGGCTTTCAGTCTTTCAATCATGGCCAGCATCCATGTAAGAGATCTCATCTTTTGGTCTCTTGATAATACACTGCAATAGAAAAAGTTTTGAAAAATGTATGCTTGCATTATAGTAGGTATTCAAAATGAAATTTTTATAATGAAATTAAATAAAATTTAACACTTCCACCTGATAGAGACTGTTTTCATCAGAACAGAAACACCAAATTTATTGATGTATGTCCATTTTTAAAAAAGTTATGAATTTTTTAAAACTCAAAAAATGCGTTCGCTTTTTTAACAGTAAAGGGTCTATTTGAGACCCCTACTAACTTCTAAAATAACTAAGTTAGAACTCTCAAATTTCTTGCACACACAGCCAGTAATACAAATAGCAAACCCAATTTTTTTCAAGGTAGTCAGACAGATATAAATAGAAAATTTATTCACATAAAAATGAGCCAAAGCACAATTTTACCGAAGTACGAAAAGGGAGACAAAAAGTTAATTTACAGTCATTTTTAAAAAATCATAGAAAATCAACTAATTAAGCCACATTAATAATATAAATGTTCTAAGAAAGGAAATTCAAAGCATGTTAATATGAAATAAGCAGGTAAAGAATTAATGAAGAAAGTAATTAGCGAGACCAGATTCAGCAAGGTCAGTTTATAAAAATTAGAAATTTCAACCGTTTTCAAAAAATGATTAAAAAATATTTAAGTAAGGTATCTTAATAAATTTTACACCAACTTAAAGCACATGATGTTCTTAATATATAATAAACACAGAAACATAAAATAATCATTCTGCAAAACAATACAAGGCATCCTTCCTTAACGCCCAAAATCAAGAATGTTCATTACCTAACATTTTGCAAAAAGTGTTCTTACTTTTAAGAAAGTAATATAAATTGTGTAGGAAACATGTTAGCATTACTTTGTTATGAAAAACTGAATAACTATACTATTACTTTACTTATATACTATAAAAAGAAGAACTTCCATGCATTTTAAAAACTGATGAAGTAAGATAACTAAACTAAAATTCTTTTTAAATGACCCTAATAGAGTTGTGATGTTCATCTAGTTTTGTTACTCTGGTTCCTAATCATGACTTGTTTAGCATAAATTTACTTGTTACTAGTATATTTATTTCTTCTAGTTAGTTATTGATCAGAGTCAACTTCTGGAAATGTCTAGGTCCTAACTTATACAATTATCAGAAATCTTAGAGCAGGTTCAAAAAGACAGGTCAATATTCTGATTGGGAAAGTTCTCTATGAGGTTGGGTAGCATTGTAATTAATAGTCAATATCCTGGTTGAGTTTGTCTTCTTCATGGTTTGGAGTAGCATTGTAATAAATGATTGTGAACTGGCAGCACAGATCAAATTATGGAATCTTAGTAGTAAGGGATCCTTCCATTGGTCCAGAGTATAGAAAATGTCTGTGAATTAAAACAATTAATTAGCATTTCCAATATACTGACTTATATAGCAGGCCTGTATATCTTTATACCAACTTAGATATCAATCATGTAACATTACATCATTATAAATAATAAGCAAAGTGCATACAATACTAACATTTGACATATGGTTTCCTTCAAAAGTATTCAGGAGTCCTGTTGTTGCTTACACAACAATATAAATTGTTTGGTAGGCCAATGAGTTTCCCCTTTCTTTTATGCTAATATCTTGCTCTGTAAATAGAATAATAATAAAAGTAATGCTGCTCAATGCTTTTTAGATATTAAATGTAAGCACTATAGATAGTTCTACTACTAAATATTATTAATATGAAAGCAATAGTGAATCTAACTAATCTAAGTAGATCTAGACTAAATCTAGAAACAACTTTGGACTAAACTATTATGGAAGGGGGGTTACATTTTATTTTAAGTCGTCTGTACAATAAATCTAGAGATAAAAAATGTAAAAGATCGTAATATTCTAAAATGTAATGTAACTGCTGCACATATATACAATAGTTAACTATTAAACTAGGAAAGACAAAAAAGCAATGCTACAATAAATTGAAAGTATGCTGTTAACCGCTGCGGTAATATAATAGTTGAACCCGACACTACGCGAAAGTAAGAAAAAACATGGCGGACAGTCGGCTTGAAATATCGACAAAATATTGATAGTTTAATCGGCCGATGTTATTAACTAACATAATTTACTAAAACAAATTAAATTCTATCATCCTTTTAAACATCTTTTTGATTTAATTGTGCATTCCTTTTTTATTTCAGTGACCATAAATTAAATACAACGGACTTTTAAAAAAGGCTAGATAATTTTTTGGAAAAAATTTTTTTAAGCGTGGAGCAATTACCGATAAGCGGAGACTAATATTCAAATGTATTAAAGCAGAAGTTAATCACAAATAAATAGAATATAGCTAGTAATATAATGTGCATTCAACTTACCTGCACGTGCTTTTAAATCCACTGTAATCAACGAATAAACACAAAATCTTGCTCTGAACCGAGGTCGGGTGTTCCGGAATTCAACAAAATCTTGACTCAAGCCGGCGAAATTTAGATGCAGGTCGTCGCGATTTGTATACATTGGTTTCATTTACTGCGGTCCGACCCCATACATGGAGTGTTCATTAAATCGTAACAGTTTTATGGCAAATTGGATGCCCTTTCGGAATATGCAACTTTGGCGGCTGTAAAATTATTTTTTCATGGAAAAAAATCATTTTAAAATTTTAAATTGAACATTTTTAGCATTTAATTATTTTATACAGCTGGTAAAGTTATACCATCTTACAGAGCTACCATTCTTCTTTCTAAATCAGTGGTTTCTAATTGCGTATGTGTTATGGGGTCGGACCGCCGCGCGATGCCGCAACGCGACCAAAAAATTTTAAAACCGGCTTAAATTTTTCGGCTCATTTAGAATACCTAATTATAGTGCCTATAGCCTGAAAACTTGTAGAGTCCACCCAGCTCTAATGAGTGCCTGGCATAGTTAAGGAATGTCTGGTTAGCTGGGTTTAGACCTGGTCATGCTATTCATTCATAGGCAAAGGTCATGGTGTAAGATGACCATCAGATGTAAAAGGGTAACTTTTTATTTTTATCTTTGACAAAGTGAATTAAACAATAGGTAGGAAAAGTATATGTAATCATACTAAATTTTTGAAAACATCTTTTTTAAAATATGGCAAGCGATAAAATTATTGTTACATTGTAAAAATTAAAGCCGTTTGGAAACCATCGATTACTCGCATATTTTTCTATTTTTCTATCGAATATAAGCTGTTGACTAGCCGTTTAAAATGATTTTATAAATTCAAATATTTTCAAACACAGCCCTCAACTTCTTCTTGATGTCAACCACAATGGCCAGAGAGAGTAAAACAATTACAAGTCAGAACAATTGTTTTCCATGATAAAAATACACAATAGTTATCTATGATGTATAGCTTGGTATTGTATTTATATTAAATAATACAACATCCCCAATCAATACAACAAAAATAAAAGTGTTTGCTAAATTACTACTATATTATTAGTAATTATTTCTTTGACTATTTCTAGCCTTAATGAAACCGGAAGTAATTTGTACATGTTACACACATGTTATAAAATATTCAATTTTGGTTTAAGAATTTGCTTTCTGGCAACATAAATTTGGAACCATTTGGAACCAGCTTTTCAGGCCTATTATGCCAGCATTAAATGTGTAATTGATTTGATCAACAAGGAAAAATCCTAGAAGCAAAATGCATACCAAAGATAAAATGTTATATCTAAAATCCAACATACAGTCAATGGCCAAGAACCAGCGGGTTGTTCAAATCCTAATTGTTTAAGCAAGGTTTAGCATGAAACTTACAGACCACTTGAGGGGCTCCTTATCACTTGCGAGGCAGCACTCAACAATGGAGAATAGAGTGATCTTATGTCTGGTTGAGCGATGACATGATTCGTCTGGCTTCCATTCAAGCAGAAGCTCAGGACATTTGGAGTTTTTGTGGTACTGAGAAGACGCCAAAGGCAGCCTCTGTCAAAATAAATGCAGATTTCTGTGAGAGTGCATCAAATTAGAGTACATGAAATTATGGTACACTCAAATTGCTGATGTATTACTATAAGCGTTCACTGAATTGTACATTTAGGACACTTTACTTAAGTTGCAATGGTTGCTTGTGTTTGTTTCTATATTTGTCATGAAATTTGTAACTAGACATGTTACTGTTGACCATTGATTCAACATAACTCATCTTACCCTAACAAGACACCCCTACAACACATAGCTCAACCTACCCTATAAGACACAACACACCCCTACACCACATTGCTCAAGCTACCCTACCAAGACACAACACACCCCTACACCACATAGTTGAACTTACCCTATAAGACACAACACACCCCTACACCACATAGCTCAACTAACCCTATAAAATAATACACCCTTACATCACATAGCTCAACTAACCCTATAAAATAATACACCCTTACATCACATAGCTCAACTAACCCTATAAAATAATACACCCTTACATCACATAACTTACCTCCAAGTAAACCCTCTTGACCACGCCCAGTTTCAATACAAGAACATCAAATGATTTGTCTAAGACTGCCATAACCATACCACTCTCTTCCAGTGGTCCAGCTTCCTATACATGGTGATCAAAGAAATAAATCAGGCAAGTACCAACCAATAAACATGTTAAATCCACACAAAATATTTTGCACAATGACAAATTTTAACAGCTGAATAATTAAATGAGTGAAATCCATTTTAATTACTTAAACATGTTAAATTTGTTAAAGAGCATAAACATTAAGTTAAAGAAGTTCTATAATCAGTGTTAAAGAAACTAAATCTAGTTCAAGCTCTAACAAAATAGTCAAATAAATATTCATCAACAGAGTTTGGATGTGACAAGAGATTTACAAGCATATTCATCAGTTTTTTTAATTATACACAAAAGTAAAATTATTCAAAATCACTATTATGCTAACAGAAGAACACACAAGCTCTACTTCACCTTCCAAACGCCATGTAATGTCTAGTTAACTTCACCCACCTTGACAAACAGGGAGAAGAACATTTCATTACTGCGTTCTGAAGCCATCTTAGCTGTTTGCTTCTTGTCATTGCAGTGTTCTGCCTGCCTTTGTAAAACTTGGATAGAACGCTTTGGTGGTTCACAATAGTCTAGAAAATTGACATCAAGATAGATTTGTAAACAACAAACTTGATGAAATTTTTTTTTTTTTTTTTAGATGAAAACTAAGCAACAATTTTAAGAATTATTTTCCTATATTTTTTTAGTCAATTTAGCAAATTAACTTTGTTAACTGCAAACATATAATTAAAAGAATATGCTACAAGTTTAAGTTTTAAAGAATTGGTTTAAATTGTTTGACTTTATTATTTATGTATTTATTATTATTATTTTGATTTTTTTAAAATACAGAATAAAAAGAGAAAATGTATTATTTTCAAAAGTTACTTAACATTTACTTCACAAAGTACCAAACATGGCCAAGGACTTACCTAAGGCTGCTGCCAAAAGCCTGTGCACCAGAATGTCTGGGTACCTGCGTATTGGGGACGTGAAGTGCGTGTAGAGGGGAACATTCAGGGCGTAATGGTGGTACATGTTCTCATCTGGGATGGCACCAGAACAGAAATATTTGGCATTCTGCAATAGACAACATGACATAGTTACCTCCCCTGGGCTTAGAGCAAAATACAGACATATTCATATAATCTTCTCTGTGATTTGTTAATCTCTGGAGTGTATACATGATTATCATCATACAAAGACATATCCCTATATTCTCTGTGATGTGTAGACTATACAACACATCATCATCACACACAGACATATGATCTTCTGTTATGTATAATAACATCTATAGCATATCCAACAGACAATTTATCATCTTCCCTGTGATGTGTGGATCACAACAGTGTAAGCAACAGACAACACATCATTATCATTTTCCCTGTGATGTGTGTACCACTATAAAGTACACAACAGACAACACATCATTATCATCTCACAAGTACACCACAAGCCAGCAACAAAAACAACCAAAGGAGGTTCTCTATGGTGTCTTCTGATCTTTTACATGCATGTTTTCATTTACTTTTCTCACTAGTGTCAATACAGTGTATGACTGAGGAAATCTAAGATTATCTAAGATGCACAGGTTCTGTCTTATCCAAGTCCAGGAAAACACTGGTGTCTATGATTAAAGTAACTTATAAACAAAAAGAACCAACCTGCATTGGTTTTCTATCACTAAAGTAACTTATAAACAAAAAGAACCAACCTGCATTGGTTTTCTATCACTAAAGTAACTTATAAACAAAAGAACCAACCTACATTGGTTTTCTATCACTAAAGTAACTTATAAACAAAAAGAACCAACCTACATTGGTTTCCTATGATTAAAGTAACTTATAAACAAAAAAAACCCAACCTGAATTGGTTTCTTATCATTAAAGTAACTTATAAACAAAAGAACCAACCTGCATTGGTTTAGAAATGAGTACAACTAGTACTTGAATCCTGGCTAGAGAGAAATCGTCTTCTTTGTGGTACTTGAGTAAAGATTTCTGAGGAGGAAGGCAAAAATTCTGTGGCACTTAGAACACTTAATTTTTTATAAAAGATTTTTGGGGAAGAAAGACAAAAGCCTGCATCAAATAAAAGATTTAATTTATATGGGAGAGATTTTTGGGGGAAAAGTCTTTAGCACACAGATTTCTGATGAAGGCAGTCTGTAGCATACACAATTTTAACTTTTCTATTCAGTTGTTGAATACAAGAAGTCAATGTACTAAAAAAGCTAAGTTACAATTCTTCCAGAGCTGCAGTCAGTAGAGCAGATGAATTAGGATTCGCCTGTTGTTTTTTTTTTTGTGACTTTGAGATGTGAAGGGATAGTGTGGTCAGGTCTATATTCATACCTTAACTTTCCGCAACATGAGCCAGGATGCTAATAGAGCTGAGTGGACTCAATAGTGCACTAGGAATTTGAGTCAGCAATCAAGCACTCTGCTGGAACTTGAAGAAAACTGAAGACTTACCTGTAAATCACCAGCTGTAGCTGCATCTATCTTCAGTCCAAAACTTTCACACAGTTCCTCCTATAAAATTTTTATAAAAGGTGTAACTTAGATAAGATAAAAGAGGTAACTTGGATTATACTGGATAATGAAGTAATTTGGGTTATACTGGACAATGAGTAATTTGGATTATACTGGATAATGGGGTAAGTAAATTTATACACTTTAGGCCTGTTTTACTTCTAAATTATCTAACATACTAACATTATAATATGTGTTTTAAAAATGGATGCACCTAAAACAAAAGTAGAGTTTAACATGTTATAAATGTATGGAGCCACAACTGAATAGTAAGAGAAGACGTTAATAGGTTAGAATGATCTTACAACTGCCTCTAAAGGTTTGACTTGAGGTGGAGGGTGACGTCTGAGGATGGCTGTATCTGGGAAGCTTGTTTTGATCTTATGAGCGACAGCCATGTTTGCTAGCAGCATGAACTCTTCAATCAGCCTGTATAAACAATAACAAACCCCATCAACGCACAATTACAAAATAACAGGTGCACTACTTCATTATTAAGTAAGAATTCTAAAACATACATCTTTTTTTTAAAAATAAAGTTTGGCTTTTTTTTTACTCAATTTTATCTGGCAAGGGCCTTTGATTAAACCCCTAAAAGTTGTGGTTCTTATTTTCTTTATATAAAATTTATATATGTAGTTTTTCAGTTTTTTTCCACGCATCTCTTGGAAAAAATTGTCTGAAAGAATTCCCGGTTTATATTAGTCTCAGCTCTTAAGCTCTTAGGTCTGTTCTCTTACAAATGTTTGACATCCTTACTTCCCCCATGATATGAGGGGATAGTGTGGTTGAGTGGTAGAACACACAATCACTAACAAAAAGTCTAGAGTTATGTCCACTATATTCAGGGAAATTAAATGTGGCTGGACTTAATGCTGAACTCTTACATCACTGTAGGTGTAGTCAACATTTTTTAAACTCTTCTTCTTCTTCGTTCTTAATTTTGAATATGGTGGAGGATTCAGACAACAAGTCCAACTTCGTGGACAAACCGGACTGTGGTCTCCAGTTTGGCAGGTGCCCCATATAATTTTTCCCTGAGTGGGGTGGGCAGGGGCCAGTGTCTGACTCGTGCTTGGCTATACAAAGTACATTCCTGGAGTACGTGCTCCGTATTTTCCAGGGCCTTGCCAAAGGGCACATTTCGCCACACCCAACCTTCAGTTTTCTGTGCATGTGTTGATTTAGTCTGTTGTGGCCTGTTCTAAGTCGAAAGATTGTGTATTGTTGTTTTCGTGTTAAATTATAATAGCCGTAGTCTTTATTGTAGTGAGGGTGTGTGACAGACCACATTTGCGTTTGTTTGTTTTTTATTATTCTTTTTATTTCTTTTGGGTGTAGCGAAATTTCCGGTTGTGGTTTCTTTCCCCCAATTTTTGCCAGCTGGTCTGCGATCTCGTTACCCTGGATCTGGCAGTGGCCCGGGATCCACTGCAGCACAATTCTGCTGCAGGTATTTTTTAGCCTCTGTAGTGCTGTCATAAGTGTTTGAATATAGGACTCTTTTAAACTCTGACATTACGACAAAAAAACGCAGATAAAAAGTGACATCCAAACCTCACCTATTGCTGTCCTTCTGTTGATACACAGAATAGCCATTGGGTAAACCCGATTCTTTATTTAGGGCGAACTGTAGTTTAACCTGATCTAGTCTGAGTGCACCATTGTCAAATCGCTGCTTCCTCAAATTTACCGCGATCTGTAAGCACACAAAAATCAACATAATTAGAACCTTTATTCACACAAATCCATAAAATTGCAATATTTATATGTTGAATTAATTAAATTTGAAATTTAGCATAGCTCTTGCTTGCTATTAGATTAGAAAATCAGAAGATATGTATTTACTTTTTAATGAAACTAATATTTAACCATTATCAATATGGGCATAAAACACTTTTTCTTACCATAGGCCCATGCAATAAGAACAATACTATTATTAAAAATTATTTTAAAATACCCACACGCACAAAAATAATCTTATTTTAATAACTTTGATTCAAAATATTTTACTAATTTACAAATAGTAAATAAAAACTCAATCACAAAAAAAAAAAAACTAAGACAAATAAAAAAAAAAAAAATCACACACATACTATTGTTCTGATACAAAAATGATTGTAAATGCTAAAAAAATCAACTTTGTCATTGGAACTACTTTCTTTATCAATATCACTATACTAATTAAATTATGATCAAGGCCCAATACAAAACAGAGAAATTTCAATTAGTAATCAATCAGAAGCATTTTGCTCAGTGCTACTAAATACTACATTAGGTTTGGTATTACAAATTACTACTTTAAAATCAATGCTACAAATAAATTTTTTTGCACACAGTGTTACAAATTACTACATTAGTGTAACATACTACATTACTTTGTTCAATAAAAGAACTTTGGTGACGATATCACTAGCTGTAAATGAGTTGGTGATGGGAGGTAACTCGTCATCGCGCCATTGTCTTCCTGGATCTTCAATAAAGCCCTAATAAAACATAATAAAAATACAGACAATGCACGTATTCAATGTTTATGTGTTCTATACAATAAATGTTTAAATAAATGCCTTTGTGAGAATAATATATAATAAAAAGAGAAAATAAATAAAAATTTTAAAATGTTATATATGGATCAAGATGTATTGTGCAGGATATTGTGTAGTAAATTGTTTTATCACTTAATACAAGTGTTATTGTTCTAATACTGGTCTAACCAAAATCTTAACTAAAGTTATTTCCCCTTTCCCATGTCTAATCAGATGAGGGGTCTTAACAAGAGACTTATGACAATAAAGTTTACACTAACAGATATATTCCTAAATGGGTTTATTTCTCACAAAATGAGCAAGCGTTGCTTACCTGGGCATGCTCATAGCTTAGTTTCACACAGGACCTTATAACTGATCGCCCATACCATTCATCAAAAATCTGAAGAAGTTGGAAAATGCTCAGTGATTATAATAATACAAAATATTTTATTTTGTGAAAAATCTGAAGATGTTAGAAAATGCTCAGTGATTATATTAATACAAAATATTTTATTTTGTGAAAAGCTAAGTTTTAATAGGATTTTTAATATGTAGAACTATTTTACTAATGCATTTATATCTATCAGTATAAGTCTTTAAGTGAGACAGCTCTAAGCAGTAAAAATGTCTATATAATGACTTACTTCCCCTTTCTCATTGAGGGTCCAGATCACGGAGAATGTAAGTCTGTCTTCATCAGGGTTGAGGCTGCATAGTTGCTCACACAATAGACGAGGAAGCATAGGGACAACCTGTGTAAGACATGGATTCAACACAGCTAAAGTAAACACACTACACACATGCTAACACAACAGAAGAGGTTACATAGGGACGACCTGTGTAAGACATGGATTCAATTAACACAGCTAAAGTAAACACACTACACACATGCTAACACAACAGACGAGGCAACATAGGGACGACCTGTGTAAGACATGAGACTCAACACAGCTAAATTAAACACACTACACACATGCTAACACAACAGACGAGGCAACATAGGGACGACCTGTGTAAGACATGAGACTCAACACAGCTAAATTAAACACACTACACACATGCTAACACAACAGACGAGGCAACATAGGGATGACCTGTGTAAGACATGAGACTCAACACAGCTAAATTAAACACACTACACACATGCTAACACAACAGACGAGGTTACATAGGGATGACCTGTGTAAGACATGGATTCAACACAGCTAAAGTAAACACACTACACACATGCTAACACAACAGACGAGGCAACATAGGGACAACCTGTGTAAGACATGAGACTCAATTAACACAGCTAAATTACACACAGTACACATGGGCACTAGAACGTCCCTGAGTCTGTACCAAACAATGATTGTTTTCTATCAAAACCTACCTTTTGCACTAGATAAACACTAGTTGCCCTACGTGATGCCACCATGTCCAGCTCTGTGTCCTCTTTCACAAAATAGCTGACATCAGCTATGTGTACCCCTACTTGGTACTTTCCTGGAACAAAACAAATTATATAAAGTTAGCAACATTAAATAATTTATAATGATGGTACTGAACAACAGATTCAAATACCAAAGTTAAAAACATAAATAATAACAATCTACATTCTGCGTTAATCTGCACGGCTCATAAAAAAAATTAAGATGATGTTTAACAAACCATTCTAAAAATATATTAAGTAATGTTAATCTTGCGCTACAGTTGGATAAAAAAAAAACATCTCCACATTACCACCACCCAGATCTTCAATGGAGACCGCATCATCTAAATCTCGCGCAGTAGCTGGGTCTATCGTAAAGATACAAGAGCTGCGGAGATCCTTGCGATAGGCATATTCTGAATCAGGGATGGTCCATGGAAGATTGGTAGGTAGACACTGAATTACCTGAAGGGAAACAATGTAAATATGGAATGACATAGCTGTGAATACATGTTAGAATTTACTTTGTGCACACAACAGGGGGTTTAACTTAGAAGCAGTTGTACACTGTTCAATGAATTGATTGTGCTACTGAAACAAATTAGCTATAACTTTTGGTAAAAAGATAATCTTGTCCAGGGATATATCCTCAAGTTTTCACAATCTTTAACCGCTTTTACATTTTGTGTGCCTAAGTGACATTTTACAGAATGTCTCATGGTCAAGTAACAGATTCTTTGCAATGACATGTTCTCTTGGGGGCCACATTCAGTGGATTATTCTCCAGAGGATGAGAGATTTCTGGGATGACAAGTTCCATGAAAGTTTATGTTCCATAGAATGATATGTACAAGGAATAACATCATCCCTGGAATGGCATGTTCCCTTGGATGACAGGTTTCCTGGACTAGTGTTCCCTGAAAGGTTCCCTAGAATAATATACTACCTTGAATGATATACTCCCTGGAATGTGTTCCCTTGGGTGATAAGTTTCCTAAAATAATATGCTCTTTAAACAGTTTAAACCCTATGCCCCATTATGCCCAGAGTTTCAATGCTAATATTATTTTAATGAGTTTCACACTGTCAACAGACAGGTGTCAGCTGTCACCTAACAAAATTAGCATCAAGTCTGAACACCCCAGACGATATTCCCTGTATGTGATGGTGTGGATAGACTGACCTTGTCGCTGAAAGGAGAGTCATCGATGTCTAGTTCTATCAACAAGGCGCTGGTTTCAGGTTCAATCTCCCCAGCCTCTCCCAGACTCCTGGCCAGAGTTCTATGGACAAAACAAAACACTCGAACTTAGCACCACTGGTGTTGTAATACAATTAGGCTTTTAACCACAACTCTAAAACAGAAAGCTATTTGGCTTTCTAAAATAGCCACAGTTCTAAAACAGATAACCAGAGTTCTAAAACAGCCAGCTATTTCAATTTGGCCACCATTCTAAAATAGCCAGCTATTTGGCCACGATTCTAAAATAGCCAGCTATTTGGCCACTATTCTAAAATAGCCAGCTATTTGGCCACTATTCTAAAACAGCCAGCTATTTGGCCACTATTCTAAAACAGCCAGCTATTTGGCCACGATTCTAAAACAGCCAGCTACGATTCTAAAATAGCCAGCTATTTTGGCCACGCTTCTAAAATAGCCAGCTATTTGGCCACGATTCTAAAATAGCCAGCTATTTGGCCACTATTCTAAAATAGCCAGCTATTTGGCCACTATTCTAAAACAGCCAGCTATTTGGCCACTATTCTAAAACAGCCAGCTATTTGGCCACGATTCTAAAACAGCCAGCTACGATTCTAAAATAGCCAGCTATTTTGGCCACGCTTCTAAAACAGCCAGCTATTTGGCCACGATTCTAAAACAGCCAGCTACGATTCTAAAACAGCCAGCTATTTGGCCACGATTCTAAGTCAGCCATCTACCCCTACATTTAGGCAAACACCAAAATCAGCAAGTCATTTAGACTAAGTGTTCTAATAGCAGGTAATTTTTTTAGCCAGTTAAAAAAAAAAAGCAAGAACAAAAACAACCAGCAATCTGACCATTTTAATTTACAATATATAATATTCAGTATTTTTCTTTAACGCCATGCTGTTTGTTTTTCCAGTATAAACGGAGATTTAATTTTACTTAGCTATTTCATGTAAAGCAGCCCATAGGGCTTGTCAGTAATTCTACCATACCACTCCGTAAAAAAATGCGCACCAAAATATATTTTTGTTTGCACGGTGCGAATGGGATTTTTTTGTTGTTGTCCTTTTATGTAAAGTAATAGTTTTTTTTTCTAAACACTTGCCTCGTGATATTACCGTGTTATCAAGATTCTTTCCTAGGCTTTTGTTTTCTTCTGTTGGCGATAGAGCTTACTGTACACAAACAAAATAATGGCAAGTCTTTAGAAGATAGAGACACATTGTCTTAGCCTGTATTAACGCTAACTTTAAAAACGATGTCCATATGTCATTTTTCAATATGTATCTTCATGTTAATTTATTGTGTTTTTTTTTGTTTAGTGTTCGAACATAATACTACTAGATCTAGATCTAGATCTAAATCTAGTCTAGCTAGGTCTAGACCTATAGCTATACGTAGGCCTATATTTTAATGAATAAACAAAATGCACATAATTTGCGCTAGGTTAGTTTATACGATAACATAATAAATATGATTAGAATATATTCAGTTCTAGATCTAGTAACAGCTAGGCCTATATTTTGAGTCGACATAGCAGAAACTACATTTTAAGTTACCGACCTCCACAAATCCAGAAACGTAATTACGTATTTAGAAATGTGTTTGATGGGTACTCTCATTTAATGTGTCTTCAATATGTTAGGGTTACAAGACCGATGTTAGGATTAGGGTAGGAAGACAACTGTTAGGGTTAGAAGACAATTGTTAGGGTTGCTTTAGACGGCTTAGTATAGTCACGGTAAAGACAAGGACGATGTTAAGGTTACTTTAGACTGGGTTTAGTACCACCACGATAAAGACGAAGACGGTACTATTAGGGTTATTTTAGACTTGGCTTAGTATCGTCACGGTAAAGACCAAGACGATGTTAGGGTTACTTTAGAATTGGTTTAGTGTAGTAGAGTCACGAAGAATGTGTAGAAATGTATATAAATGTCACTCTATTTTAGCCAACATTAACCCCCTATTTTCACATTTCGTCACCATAAAAATAGCCTGACCCTACCCTTTCTAAAATGACGCCACAAAATCTCCTCCCCTGCCCCCCCCCCCATAAGCATGACATTTTCTGACAACCCTTTCCCCATCTCATAAAAAATAATCGTGTGCAGAACCATTTTCATTGAAATTTAACATGACTAGTTCCCATGCACTAGTATTCATATAACTAGCGGCGCCGATTATGATACTTCATCTTTTTGACCTCGGCATATAAAGGGATAGTGTGGTCAGAACTATGCCCAGCCGTCTTTACTTTCCCTAACGTGAGATCAGTACACATCAGAGCTCATCTTTTTGACCTCGGCATATAAAGGGATAGTGTGGTCAGCACTATGCCCAGCCGCCTTTACTTTCCCTAACGTGAGTTCAGTACACATCAGAGCTATGTGAACTCAGGGATGTTCCACTAACTTGAACCCGGATTCGAACACGAATCGGGTTAGCAGTCTAGCGCTCCACCGCTAGGCCACGTCGTGACATCATTTCATTTAGCCTATGTTAATTTAGTTCCGACTGTTTCAATTAATAAGCTCCTTTAACCTTTCCACATGAATAGGTTACATGGGGCACACAACACAGAACGCCCAATACAACTGGACCATTCGCTCAATTTATCAGAAAAAAGTAAGCTTCTATTTTTTTTATCTTACTCAGAGCAACCTTCAGTACAATAACTAGCACATATGTCGCACTAACTCATGTATTCCGAATTATTAAAATGTTGATCGGTGTTGAGGAAAAAATATACCTAAACCAGTAAAAAAATTAACACATTTTTAGATCTTATAACTTATAAGGGTCGCTGGGCGTGCTGTTTTTTTTAATTATTATTTTACTTTCATCACCCTCAATAATAGGGCTTGTAAGTAGGTCACAACTTCTCGTTCACGTACTTGCTAGTAGATTTCGAGACCGTAGACTTACAAGCCCTATAGTGAGGTAGAACAATCTCGGCGCCAGCCCAGGTGTAAGGGGCTTTGCTGTGAACTCTTGGGAAAATCCGGTTAGACTAGCGAAAGGGCGCCGTCGGTCGAGCCTGATTCGATTTAGTCAACTATTATAGTCGGCTACCGTGTCCCTAGTGTATGGTACTCTAAAACAAGGGTCTCCAAACTACGGCCCGCGAGGTCCTCTCATCCGGCTCGCGGATATCTTTTTGTCCAAGGAAAAAAAAACGTTACTTGGTGATGGCTGAGGAACTTTGCCCAGAAAAATCAAAGACATGACTGGAAGAAACTGGCCCCCGAACTGAAATTTGATAGTTAATGCGGCCCTCGGACTGAAAAGTTTGGAGACCCCTGCTCTATAACAAACGTAGGCGCCATAGTGTCATGGGGGACCCCGGGCCATTTGATAGCCAAGGCACCGGTGGATGCGCGTGGTGAAGCTTGATAGCTGAATCAAGTAGTACATCCGACCGCCCTGTGCAGGACGCCTTATCAACGCATACCAGATGCTGGAAAATTCAGGGCGCCAAACCGCTCCAAACTGCCGGGGTTTTCTATCACAAAAACCTCCTTTCTTCCCCCTCCCCCTCCGGAACGGAGAAAAATGTCTCAAAGAAACCAGAAACCCTATCCTCAAAAGCCGTAGACTTTCCAAGCATGCGATTAAGCGAACGAGTTAAGTCAAAGCATGCTTGAAGCAGTAACAGACCGCGTAGTTGAATGAGCATTGGCTAATGTAGAATACTAGTTCCACAGCAAGTGAATGTAAACTTCAATGCTGAAAACTTCCTGCCAGTAACGACTGAACTTGTGTTCCAGGTACAAGAGTAGGACGTCTTACATCCTGCAGTATTTTGTGGAGGAACCCACCACCCCGGCCGGCGAACTCCTCCCAATATTTGAAGCCATCATCGCGGAGCACACCAAAGACCAGACTACCCAGCTGACCATCCTCCTGGCCGTAGCGATGACCTCAGTGGTGCTGAACGTCTTCGTCATGCGGTGTATGTCCCAGAGCTGCACCTACTCCACCACCGCCCGCCTGCTGAGGTGCTTCACGGCTGTGGACATGCTGCACGCTATGAACAACGGCGTCGAGAACACCCTCATCATTCTACAAGCCTATCCTCTGGTCAGCAAGACCTCCTTCTGGCACGGCATCCTCTCCAGCTACAACGTCTTCCAACTGCTGCTGAAGATCCACCTTATCATCTTCGTCCTGTTCAGCCGCTTTACCATACCGAGAGTAACGCCCTGTAAGATCAGGCACCCGTGCTTCATGTGGAACATGCTGGCCATGATTTCATCAGCAGTGGGGACCATGCTTTACCTGAACTTCAAAGAGGAAACCATTGCTATGCGGAAGGACGGGTACATTTTCAGCATGTACCCGTGCGTCTACACCAGGTGCAAGACAGCAGAGCTGCTGGAGCACCCGTGGAGGGTGATTCGTGACAAGAGGATGAAGATGACTGATGTAAGTTTTGGGGACACCTGCTTGTAGGCATGACTGATGTTTCTGTGGCTGGTATTGCCTTAACTCTTTTGGGTTAGTTTACAGGTTAGCAATGTTTCTTTCAGACATTTTACTCAGGGGGCAGACTTACATTTCTGAGGGAGGGGGGAGGGGGTTTAAGTATGTATATATATATATATATATATATATATTTATATATATATATATATTTATATATATATATATATTTATATATATATATATATATATATATATATATATTTATATATATATATATATATATTTATATATATATATATATATATATATATATATATATATATATATATATATATATATATATATATATATATATATATATATATATATATATATATATATATAAATATATATAAATATATATATATATAAAAATAAAGTATATATTTTGTACATAAATTATATTTCTTTCGGGGGGGGGGGGGTAGACGTAATAGAGGGGGAAGATGCCTGAAAGAAACTCTTTAGGGTCAGGACACTGACTGGGGAAGTTAGTGTTAGTATCAGCTATACTCATGTCATGAATATAAAGGTAAGGTTAATCAATATGTTCTACACAAAGGTTAAATAATGATTAAATTAGTATAAAAACTGCCAATGGGGGGGGGGGGGGGGGGCAGTGTAGAGCAACACTGAAACCGTAGCTTCTTTATTAGACGAACATAGCAAATTTCTACGGGTTATTGCTATGTGTACAAACCTGATTCACAAGTCACATCACAGAGCATATTATTAATGCCCAGCTTATAAGTCATAACACAAGGTATATCACAGCTCTAAGCCATATCTTACGGCATAGCCCTATATAGAAGTCATTTCACAGAGAAATTTAGTGCCCCGGTTTGAAGTCACATCAAAAATCCCATTAGGGCCAACTTATAAGTCATATCATCTGGCATATTAGTATCACAAAACGCTTTTTAAGTGAAGAATACAAAATAAAACTTAAGCAATATAGTCAAACCATGAGGGTATAAACATTAATTACATATGTCTTTGTAAACGCTGAGGCTACAACCCTTATTACTTCTACAACAATTGCTTCTTTGAATGTAACAAAACTCTCTCCCTCTTGAACAGATGATAAGCCAGATAGTGACCAGCTTCATAGTATTCCTCTTGCTGCCCCTTTACTGCACGAAAGTTATCAGCCTGAAGAACTGGATGTACACCCTGCAGGTCTACGACACAGAAAGAAAGAACATCGAGTCCGAAGGGAGGGAGATCCACTACTACGAGGACCTGGAAGGCACAACCAGGAAACTACCAATCATATACGAAGTCACGGAGACCGAGTCTGGAACTGACAAGCAGAGATATTTCCCTTACTCGCTTGTCATTCTCCATAACAGAATCAGCCTGTGTGACAAAACAAAAAAAGATAACATATTCTATGATAGCGAGCTTATACCTGACAACGCAGAACCGGTTGAAGAGCCAGTGGAGATCGCACCAAAGCCAAAAATGGATTTTGAAGCTTTTAAAGAAAGGTTACAATTTCGTGCGGAACAAGCGAAAGTCGTCGAGACGAAAGCAAGGACCTGGCTTTGGTTCGACATGAACACCAACAACGTATCTAAGTGGCCGTGCTACGAGGGTGTGGAAAAAGTGCACCAGACCACACAAACAGAACAATGCTACGTCTGCCTTGAAAAGTCTAGCAAAACTTTTTCCAATCAACAAATCATATTCAGCATAAACTGCTGTTGCAACAAGCCAGCCCCTGTTGAGAGCCCGCGCAGACCTTTTCATGAGCCCTGTAAGCTGGACTATGCTAGAGAAGGACACTCGAGTTTTTCCAGAAAGAAATTTAACAAGCTGAAGACCAGAGCTTTAACAAGCAAGGGTATTACGTCCCCATATAACACATACAATGGTTTTACGTACTCAAAAAACATGGGCGGAGACAGAAACTGGAATAATAGTTTTGAAGAGATTTGTGATAAAGCCAAATTTGATGAAAAAGAGAATTTTAAGATACTAGATTTTGAGAAACCCAAGTCTCAAGAGGTATATAATATTATATTTATTTTGTACTCACAACAAGTAAGTAAAGTTACCCTTTCGAACCTGGGCGATCCACAGGGCAGGTAAAGTAGAGTTGACCTGTTTCTGTGACCTCAGTATATGACGTGATGGTGTGGTCAGCACTATGCCTAACCGCCTTTACTTTCCCTAACTTGAGTTAGGTACCCATCAGAGCTGGGTGTGCTCATGGCCATCCAACAGACTTGAGCTAGAGACTTTCTGGCCACTAGATCTACACTCTACCATTCGACAATGCCATTCCATTATTGCAACAAATGTTTATATTACATGTCATTGTTTAGTGGCAATTGTTTTACATTCCAGTATCTTCTTCTACACAAATGGGTAAAATTTAAGGCTGAACAAAAGCTAAAACTTTGCTTTAGGATTTTCACCATTCTTTTCAGAAGTTTTTTTCTATTTTAAAAAAGAAATCAGAAGCTTAAAAACATTATTTAGGCTAAAAACAAAATTAAGTGCTTTTTCATTTTTAAATGTATTGAGCTTTTAGAGTTTGTGTAAGTAATTGTTTTATAATCTGAGCTTAAGGTAATTTTAGACGAGGGTCTCATAATCTGAGAACTAAATGGTATAAGCAATGTGTGTCTTATTTATTTAGTTGTATTTGTATATATATCTTTATATATTGTGTTATATTTGTTGGTTTATAAAAAGATTTTAGATTTTAAAAAATCCATTTTACTGCATGGATTAATAACATTGCCTTTAAATCAATTTTTTAAGTTATAAACCCTGCCCTTCGTCATGTGGGTCATAAAATTTCAGATTTCCATAAATTTTTACAACAATGCAACAAGTCAACCCTGTGGTTGGTGATTGTTAACTAGAAATACAATTTTTCCTGCTAACAACTTATAGTATACTGAAACACTCTTTTTTTTTTATTTTGAAAGTCAACACTTTCTTATGTAAAAGATGTACATCTCTTCTGCACAGATCCACCGCCAGATTCAGGAGCATTTCAACACACACAGCACCCCTTTAGAAATCATCGGTCTGCCAGATTCATTAAAGACTTCACACTACAGGATGAGACTGGGCCATACGTTACACATCACACATCGCCTGTGGTTCCTAGCCATCTTTTACATCATTCTAGCACTCCTGCCTATTGGCATTGAGTCCAGGATGCTCCAATACAGTTTTCTTCTGTCGCACGCAGACCACTTTATGGGCCTGGTCCATTTTTTCACACTCTTCATATTCAGCTCAGGTTTCAGAAGAACTTTAAGGATGCAGTGCCGTTGATTGACAAAGCCATTGTCTACTATTGCGATTCTTCAAGGATTCATTTTAAAAATAAAAAACCAGATATTCCTATCTTTCATGAATGACCACTTATGTGTCCTAATATGCATTGTGCAACATAACATTTCCGTACAAATTTTAGCATCACTTCAAACACCAGTTACATTAAATGCTGGAACTTTTAAGTGCTTGAAGTACTTATCAGTGGGGATATAAGTACAGGATGTTTTCCACAGAGGAGGACAATAATCCACCATTGCTGGAATCAAAGACACAAACGATAAACACTCACCCTTTTGGCATTTTTGAAGTCTCATCCCACTGAAGAATGCGTGCTATAAATAACGTCTGAGAAAAATCTTCAGGGCGCTGGTAAAAATCTGGATCACATGAAGAAGAAACAAAGCTAAAGTTTAATAAAAAAAAAAAAATTTAAATAATAATAAAAATGTTAATTTTATTGTGTGTTAAATTAAAATTTTAAAAAGCTACATAATGTAATTTTTAAAATCTGGATAAAATAACTTCCATGCAAATTTCAAAAAGAAGATCAAGAGCTAATTGCACTGAGGCACTTTTATGAACGAAATTCAAAAGAGCTTTAAAGTTATAATATCCAGACAAGTTATATTGAAAAAAACCAAACGGAAACAAGAAAGAAAAAGTTTTGTTTTGTTTTTGAAGGTTTATGTTACACTTGTGATGCTATACATGTTTTCATTGTCTATGACTTTTAACAACCTGCTTTGTCAACTTATCTGACACATTTTTCATTTTTAATAGGAATAATAAAATTAATTACTTCATTCATCAACCTGCATTTTTTTCATAAATTTATTTAGTGTTTCCCAGGAAGATTTTTTTACTTTAATTTGGATATAACATAATTATAATATTTTAACTATAAGAAAAATGTGTGCAGCTATTTCAATAGTTGAACATAATTTTTTTTGTAATCAATAATGAATATGCATTAGCTTACACCCCAACTTGTCATACTACTTAATAATGATACACTTTTTAAGCTTTACAAAACCTCTAAAGACATTACTATTTATGATATATCTAGCTCCTAATTAAAAAAGCCGTTAACTGCTGACACTGTCTAACCCATTTCTTAAACAAACAACGTAAGTATTGCAATTAATTTTAAATAGAAAACCAATATCTTATCTTAACTTCTTGTTGGGACATAAAACATTGGACAAAATTTAGAAAATCTTTAGTGCTGTGCCCTCACCTTTGGGACATTCTGACATTGGAATGAGAATTCTGGGAATTCTGCTGTCTGTAGGTGAGAACAGGGCGAGGTTTTTGTTTTTGTCTGGCATCAACTTCAGGCGTCCACTGGCGGCCCTTGAGTGCTTCTTCTCATAGATGTACACAACCTGAAAATGGAACACAGTAATATGTAAACAACCTGAAAATAGAACACAGTAATATGTACACAACCTGAAAATAGAATACAGTAATATGTACACGACCTGAAAATTGATTACAGTAAAATGTACAAACACAGTAATATGTACACGACCTGAAAATAGAATACAGTAATATGTACACAACCTCAAAATAGAATACAGTAATATGTACACAACCTGAAAATAGAATACAGTAATATGTACACAACCTGAAAATAGAATACAGTAATATGTACACAACCTCAAAATAGAATACAGTAATATGTACACAACCTGAAAATAGAATACAGTAATATGCACACAACCTGAAAATAGAACATATTAATATGTACACAACCTGAAAATAGAAGGTTTCACATTTATATGTACACGGCCAGAAGTTGGGGGGGAATCACAATAATATGTACACAACTTGACATTACAACACAACAATATGTACACAACTTGACATTACAACACATCACAATATATATATAACTTGAAATTACAACACAACAATATGTACACAACTTGACATTACAACACATCACAATATGTACATAACTTAAAGTTAAAAAGATCCACATTGCCTTAAAAAAAAGTATCAGTGTGTAATCATTTCCTTCCTGAGTTTTTTATCATAAAATATGTTACCAAGTAGGCAAATACTACGTAATGAATACTATGAACAGCAAATATAAAATGCTACATCAGTGATTTTTTCTTAAAGATTTAGTAAGTAAGCTTTTTAAATATCCTTTATTAAATTAGCCTATTAAATCTACTCTGGATATAGGCTACTCAAGTCAACTTTATATTAAATCTCCTCAACATTAAAGCAAACCTACAAGATTATAACAGCAGGGTTGAACAGTTTGCCTACCTTAAAACATATATTAAATTTAATTCAATATAGAAAATTTTTTTGTAAACAAACCCGCCCAGTGCGCTGAGTAAACCTGTTGCCCAATTCAGAATCAGGTGCTTCGCTGCCGTTGGGGTTAGTCCCGAATAAATTTTTGGCGAGAGGACTTCCGCTATGTCTCATATCAGACACTGAAGAGATCTTCTTCATTGGAGTCCCTTTGCTGCTGCCTTGGCTGGGTGTGGTCTGAGCTTTGTTTTTATTGCTGCGCTGCGGGGACTTATCTTGAAATTTTCCAGCAGCCCCTGGAGTACCTGTGGATATAAAAACTGCTTGAGACAACATCTGGAATAGATACGAGGAAAGATTAAAGTACCCAATCAAGTATATGTGAAGTTCAGCAAAGATGAAGTTAAGTTTATCAGTCGCTGTGGCCAGTATGATGCCCAGTTTGTGAGCAGATGTTGAAATACCTTCAGAAAACCATCAATAAAAATGAATAAGAATAGACTTCTCGAGAGAAGAGAATAAAAGCAGGCCTATAGTGACCTGGAAAAGATCAGTTGAGATGGTGGAATGATGGAATGATGTGACTTGAAGTGAAGAGGAAGTGGAATAGTTGAGTTGATTGGTTTAAGAGTTGCCTCAGCTTTTTTTCTCCCTAAGTAGGAGGGGAATAAGAACGACCAGCCTGATGTAAGTCAGGTACCCATTACAGTGGGTGACTCTAAACAAGGAAACACAAAGCCTTTGTATGTCCCAATGTTAAGTCAGGTACCCATTACAGTGGGTGACACTAAGCAAGGAAACACAAAGCCTTTGTATGTACCCATGTAAGTCAGGTACCCATTACAGTGGGTGACTCTAAACATGGAAACACAAAGCCTTTGTAGGTCCCAATGTAAGTGAGGTACCCATTACAGTGGGTGACTCTAAACATGGAAACACAAAGCCTTTGTATGTCCCAATGTTAAGTCAGGTACCCATTACAGTGGGTGACTCTAAACAAGGAAACACAAAGCCTTTGTATGTCCCAATGTTAAGTGAGGTACCCATTACAGTGGGTGACTCTAAACATGGAAACACAAAGCCTTTGTATGTCCCAATGTTAAGTCAGGTACCCATTACAGTGGGTGACTCTAAACAAGGAAACACAAAACCTTTGTATGTCCCAATGTAAGTGAGGTACCCATTACAGTGGGTGACTCTAAACAAGGAAACACAAAGCCTTTGTATGTCCCAATGTAAGTCATGTGCCCACTACAGCAGGGTGTTTCTAAAAAAAAATTCTGTTTTCTACTTTTATATACCTTCAGATATATCCAATTTATCAGAAAGTGCGAGTGCCAAATTGTTCCCTTCATCCCCATCACTCTCCACAATAGCATCTGGTCCAGAATCCTCATCACTCTCCTCCACAACTAACCTCTCCTCAGCAACACTGCGCTCATAGTTTTCAAAGTCGTCTACAAACACCTGATGTAGACAAAACATTTATTTTGGACAAATACACTCGCTCCACCAACGATTCTCTACCTACTAGAAAACCCCACTCAAGTGACGAATTACTTTTTAGAGGTCATTTTTCAAAAACGTATTTTAAGAGCAAAAAAAACTGAAAAGAAATTAACTTTTTGGAAACAATCCCTGATGAGAGACCCTGCTTTAGGTATGTAACAAAAGTATTTACTTAAAAATAATCAAAGAACCATTTGAAATTTTGTTCTAACTTATAGTTGTTTCCTTAGCAAAGCTGTCATTATAAGATAGGGTTGTTAGCCCTACGCTAAGCCTCCCCTTCATCCAGACTTGGGAAAGGCGGTAACCTAATAGTCTAGTCTGAAGTATCCTCCTTCCTCCCCCCCCCCCCCCCCCATTACCCTAGATAAATTACCACATGAATATTCCACAAAACATGAAGTAGCACATTACACCCTGTTGATTGAGAACTAACTTTAAAGTGTTAATAACCACAAATGACATCACAGTCTTAGAGGATGAGGGGTGAACTTTCATGATGTGATGTAGGGGGGGAGGTGTTAGAAGTTTAGACTTTAGCGGTATGTGTCTATGTGTCGAGAGGGAGGGAGTGTGAAGTCAGTATTTAGCATTTGAAAAGCCATTTTTTTTTACATAAATTCTTTCCAATTTAAAAAATATTATTTGTTATACAGATTAATAAATATAAAACAAATTTTGACCCTGCTCATTTTATATTTTACCAAGAAATAGGGGTTTCAAAATAAAAAATTTGATGTGGGTGGGAAGCAGCTAGGCTTGAGCATGATGTAATATGGGAGGGGGGGGGAGAGTGGCTGACGTTTTATAACAATGTGTGAATATATCTGTGGGAGATGGGGTGGGGGTGGGTGAATCATCCATGAAAGTGTCTGAGGTTGTTTTAAGTAGTCCTTTCTACTAGCAGGTAAGAAACTTACCCGCCATTTTTCATAGTGGTACACTTGTACAACCACCTCGTCGAGGTTTAAAGCCCTATTGCGGTCCTTCATCCCACCTATAAATATGTCAGCAGATCCATCCTAGTGGAAAAACAATAATAAAATACCTCAGTGAACATTAAACTAGCTACTTAATGCTGCCGGAGTCACATAGCAAATGATGGTTTTAATGACATAAGTGAGAGAGACCTTTTGAAAGCTTCACAACAGACTACACACAAAAAAGTATTGCAGCACAGCTTGGGACTAAATTTTGTAAGTTTCTCTGTTAAATAACTCACAGGCATGGGAACATAGGCATCCTCATAGTTTTTTGGGTTGATTCGTAGTGGACCCTGTAAGGTAGAAAAATAAAAAAGCAGGTTAAACACAAAGCAGGCAGGTACAGCTGATACAACAAATCTACAAAATTGTAAAAGGAAATTATTATGATACACATCTCTAAAAATCTGTATGCTTAAATTATACCTACCAGCATTCATCAGTGGAATAGCCTTCCCCCCCCCCCCCCCCCAAAGTAAGTTAATCCATGCTAAGTCACAGCTACGGTGACTGTGGCTTTGTTTGCAATTTCAAAATTGTATAAAAGCACACTTTTTTGTTTTTAAAATAATTAGGTATACACAAACACATAATGGAGGAAAAATATGGATCCCCCCCTTAAGACAAAACCTTGACCAGGCCCACAACCTACTACAATAGAATTATCTAATTAAAAAAATATCTAAAGTGTACTTACTACAATCAACTCTCCTCTTTTAATACCGTTCTTAACATCCTCCTCAGACCAATATGAATCATATATCTGTCAAGGAAACAATGATCATGCCAGATTTATTACAATTTTAATCCAAACTAGAATAAAAATTGTAACATTTACTTTTAAATAAATCATTTGCACTAATTAAGTATGCTTTTAATACTCTAAGGTTTAAATAAACAATGTAAACATTACACTAAATATTTACTATGAAAATAAGAACTACAAAATACAAACAAAATTATAGTACTACAGCACTGTGCACCTTCCATATAAAATTAACATAATTAAAGTAGAGATAGGAACTCTATGTGAGATAACTAAATAATATTAAAATACCAAAATAATTATTAACTTTACTCCACTAAAGAAATTTTTTTAAAAATGCATTCAAAAATAGGTTTACTATCTTGTAAACCATAGAACACAAAGACCTGTATTTCAGATGACTTTGTGGTTATTTTAGTAAAATAAAGCAAAAAATAGAAGGGGTTAGTTGTTTTTTTTTTAAAAGAGAGTTCTCATTTACTTGACCACAACTATGTTTAATTTGAAGACTATCCATTGTCTGTTGAAAAACTGAAATTTCATTTTTGGAAAAAAACAAAAATTTTTGTATAAATAAATGTACGAGTTTACACAAAGAGTTTCACCAGCAGAGCTTAAAGTCATGTTAAATTTTTTAAACCTTATTATATTTATCCCCTAATACAAGTATGAAGGACAGCAGGTATGCAACATTGAACGGAATGCAGCACACTAGCAAACTACCAACACAGGGAGGAGTGTATCTGTAACACACTAACATGGATAGGAAACCTTACACACCCAACACATCACACAGAGAATACTAACTAGACATAAGCTCAAAACACACAATAATAAATGCCAGTCCTGAAATGGCTAAGGAAATAACACAAAATGCCATTCATCGGAGACTGAAAACCAGATATATATTTTAAACTGTTATCTAAAACAGTTGCTGGCAATTAAATTGAAACAATAATGAGATTCCTTTTAGTGATTTTTTAAAAATATATCCAGAGGGAATTTTCAACAATAATTTTTTTTTATTTGTATTAGCTTATTTTACATGTAGGAAGACTTTGCAAAAAAAAATGTAATATATTTTTCACTTAACACAGGGCTTAAGATTAATTCTTTTGTTGAAGTTTTTTTTTAGCTTGATATATAAATTATTAAAATATGTGTACAGTACTGTACAGTAGCTTGTTTAAGCCTCTTCTAAACACAATGACAACACATTTTTTGACATGATACAAAACTTCTAATTTGTTTCTTATTTTGCAATTTTCAACATGTTTTAAAAAATTTGAAGCATAAATTTAAATCGTTACAAAAACTTACTAATATTTTATAGAAGGCATCATATGAACACAATGACAACACAGTTTTTGGCACAATACAGAACTTCTACTTGGTTTCTTACTTTGCAATTATCAAGTTATTTTTAAAATCAAATATTTCAAAAATGTATAGCATAAATAATTTCAAAACTGACTACAAGCTTATAGAAAGTCTCTTCTAAACACAATGCCCGGGGCACAAAAGGGAAAAGATGAAACACAATGAAAACATACTTTTTGCTTGTCGCGAGACACTTGGTTGGCTCTCTGCTGGGGACGAGCTGGACTTTTACTACTAGCAGACACAGGTTGCTGTCCTGTTTGACCTTTAGTACCAGCAGACATAGGTTGCTGTCCGGCTTGACCTTTATTACCAGCAGCCGCAGCTTGCTGTCCTGCTTGAGCCTTTCTCCTCTGGTTGCCTGACATTTTGTTATCTAGACTGAACTAACACAACTCTTGAGAGAAGAAAGTTTAAAAACGTTTTGTCTATCCTCTAACCTCTAACATAACTGCCTGAAAAAAAAAGAAGTAGAAAATTTGGCTTGTTTAAAAAGACACACTCACCGAAACAAAAATCGTTCTGACTTTTTTTTTATGATTAATTCAAATATTAACTATTAATAGTAATTTGATCTTCATCCTTTTTGAGGATTAATTTCACTTTTGGCTAATAATGCTTAAAATCATACAAATTTTGCATATTAAAATTTTTAATAAAAATTAACAATTAACAGACAATTTATGCAAGACAAAATGTATTTTCACAACTAAATTGAAAATAGCTCTTACTATTAATTTACAAACAGCATAATAGTCTTTATATAAAGCTATACAAAATAAACCGGGAGTGATCTCCCCTAAACTGTCTCGAATATTCTTATATAAAATAACAGGGGATGGGAACTCGGGCTATAGACATGATTTTTAATCCATTTTAAATACTTAAAGTTTTAAAAATAGAATAAAATCTCGTAGACAAATTAATTGCACACCAAGTGAACGCCAAATAAAAAAGCGCATAATAGTGAGCAATATTATTAGTACTTTTAAAATTTACATTAGTTTTTTGAGAAATCGGAAGTAGCGTAAATTACTACTTCCGGTCAACGGAAATTACTCAAAATTTAACAGAAGGTAGAGAATTAGATCTTTTACTTACATGTGAAATTTCATTTATCTATCTGAAATAGTACTCAAGTTATAGGCTTTTGAAAAATTCAAAGTAGGAAAAGTACCACTTCCGGTTATCGGAAATTGCTCAAAAGTTGATACGGATCTACGATTTTGATAAAATACTTAAATTTCATCAACCTAGCTGTAACGGTACTCAAGTTATCGTGTTTACACACAGACAGACAGACACACAGACAGACACACAGACATACGGACAAGATTGCAAAATTATGTTTTTCCGTATCAGTGAGGTGTAAAACGTCGAGATTTGTAAAAATCTCGATTTTTTTTTTTGCACGATTACAAGACTTTCTCTATACTTCGTTTATACGCGAAAGTAAAAAAGTCCACAGCAATGAATATGCTGAAAATTTTTAATCAAAACTCAAATTATACTTAACGATAAACCATGCAATAAATAATAACTTTTCTTCAATTTGTTAGTAATTAGTAATAAAGCTGCAAAAAACAGTTTATGTTGATAAAAGCAGTTATGTTAGTTTAGTAAAAGCAGTTGGTTAATGTGAATAAAACCTGCATTCACTGGTCAAAATAGCATTACCATCCCACTGATGGCTGGAATTTCTTCATTCTCTTTAAGTAGTGCCATCTGTTCCCTCTGCATCAGATCTGGTGTATGTCCACCCAATAATGGCTGGGTCACTTGTTGTATAAGTGTTGGCCGGACTGTTTGTTCCTCCAACGCTGGTTGGGCCATCTGTCCCTTCAGCACAGGCTGGGCCATCTGTCCCCTCAACATTGGCTGGGCCATCTGTCCCCTCAACATTGGCTGGGCCATCTGTCCCCTCAGCACAGGCTGGGCCATCTGTCCCCTTAGCAAAGGTTCGGCCATCTGTCCCATCAGCATTGGCTGGGCCATCTGTCCCTTTAGCATTGGCTGGGCCATCTGTCCCCTCAGCACAGGCTGGGCCATCTGTCCCATCAACATTGGCTGGGCCATCTGTTCCTTCAGCAAAGGTTTGGCCATCTGTCCCATCAGTCTTAAAACTGGTGAATTTATTTTAAACCAGATGTCTTCATCAACCTCTAACCACCTACAATTTTTTTGCTGTTCAAATTCTTCAGTACAGATTTTATTTTCAGGAGACAGTTTACCATCTGTGGTATTTCTGGCTTCTAATTTATTAAAGTTTTCATGCAGTTCTTGCTCCATATCTGTGCAATTGGAATGAAGACTGTTGCAGGAAAAAGTATCTACCTTTGAATTTTTATCCTGTAAATGCTTCAAAGTTGGTGATGCAGCAGTTTTTGGCTTGCAAAACTTTCTTGATTTTGAGGTGCCAAGTTTCATTTCATTTGGGGAATTTATCAACTTTATGGCACCTGGTTCTAAGCTACATAGAGCTGGTTTTGGTGTCTTAAGTTCTAGGTTTCTTGAGAGAGAGTTTACAGTGCCTTCTTCTACGTTACTTTGGGCTTGTTTTTTGGTGTTTAGTTCTAAGTTTATAGACGGAGCAGTACCACCTTCTACATTACTTTGGGCTGATTTTGTGGCAATTCGTTCACGATTTTTTGATGTAGAGTTTACAGTGCTTTCTTTGACGTTACTTTGGGCTTGTTTTGTGATGCTTAGCTCTGAGTTTCTCGCCAACTCACAAAGTTGATACAACCTGGACTCAGGATATTTCAACGATACTTCCTCATCAACCTTAACCTGCAGCTCATGATTATCAAGTTTTCTTTCCATAATAGATGGCTAAATTTGTACAAAACTGATGACAAAAATATTTTCAAATGTAGATTTAAAGTATGAAAAAATATTACAATTCAAGCAGTATTGGTCGGGAAAATACTGAGAAAAGATAAAATTTAGATTTCCTTATCTTATATTTCTACAAATATTCTAAAGTAAAAAGTGCATTTATTTTCAAACCAATGGTAGTCTACATAAACACCTCCAATGGTTTCATGATTTTCTGACATGAAGAGTTAGAACTAAAAGTGTTTAATATTTTCAATCAGTAGAGCTTAAAGGAAATTAAACACTGCTTTCATTTCTTCACCACAAGAAGAAATATCTTGTAATTCCAAACATAATTTATTTTTAAAAAGTCTAGTAATATGTATTTAATTGTTTTGTAATAGTAAACGTTAGTATTATTACTACTTTTATTAGAGTTTATTAGTTATGTTTTAGAGTACTGAATAGTAATCCTGGTATCTATTTTAGATTGTGGTCGATGTAATTAGAAAATATTAGGATTGCAATGATATCACTCCAAAAACACAAATAGATTAAAAGTAGAGGGCGTCACTACAAAAATATAAAATGAGAACTAGATCAAAAGTACTCAAGCACTAGGCCTAATATTAACTAATAATACTAAAGGTACTTCCAATGGTATGTAGTCTGAGAGTACTGTGAGTACTGAATGAGGTCTTGGCTTTGAAATAGACTTCTGTGAGAACAGTCTGACAAAACTAGTTGTTTTTTTTAATTTAAGGCTTTCTTTTTTAGAAGTCTAAGACAAGAGCTTGGTTTAAGTTTTGCTGAATTTAGGCTAACATTTAAAGTTAAACTATGATTCTATTTAGATCTAGATCTCTAATAGTAAATAGTTAGCCTAAATTCTGTTAAACTTTAACTAGTTTATATTTAACTAACAAAACTGACACTCTTAATAGACTCTACACTCTTACATTGTCTACAGCCTACTTTTAATATTTTGGCCTACTTAAACAGGGGTTGGTAAATTGCAAGGCGTGAAACGCAAAATGGCAAGGCAGTAAATTGCGAGAATGCAAGAGAAAATGCTAGACATTGCTGAGGAATCACTGGTAAATAGCGAGACACTTTTTTATTTCATGCTTTTGGTGTTGTTTTTTTTTGTTTTTTCACTAGATGTACAAGAAGAAAAGTTATAAACTAAACAAGTAGATCTAGATATATCACGAGTATTGTTCTTTGAACTAGTTTAGATTTTTTTTAAATATTAAAATATCTTAACATCGTTGCTCCTATGATCGCACGCTCACATTTTTTTGTCAGCAGGAAATCCCATCTCAGTCAAGTGAGTCAACTGAATTCGTAAAAGAGAATATTATTTTGGAATGTATTTTTTAAATCTATATCTGTATTCAAAATTCAAAACACTGTTGCCTGCTCAGTTTTTTTTGTTAGTGCCATAAAAATACCACCTTCTGAGGCTATAAAAACTGGTCATAAAAACTGGGATCATTGAGGGTTCACATAATCTTGTCAGCTGGAGAAATATTCAGCTTTCTTTCAGTGTATTTTTGTACTGGTAGAAAGCATAGAAAAATAAATAAACAATTTAAAAAGTGTAATTTACAGGCCTATTTTTTAATTATAACATTTTAAAGAATTATCAACATTGATACCTATACGATGAAAAAATAAATGATATTCCAAATTTTTTTAGCAACAATACAACATTCAACATGTTTGCGGCGGCTGCGGCTTCAATAACAATGGCTTTGGTGTTCCACACAAAAGAAAGAACAGATACAAATTTAAATGTGGTGTATTGGGCAGTTTTGAACAAGGTGGTATTTAAAGTCTGCCCAACAGATCGAAGTTGCAAAATCATCAGCACATCTAGCAACTGAAGTTATAACAATACAAAAGAAGGTCTTTGAATTCTGCATCAAAGTTCATTATAAATGGGGTATACCACCACCCTGGGTATGTATCGTTTGGGGGGTAAGATGTGAGACAAAAATGTCTCATGACCGGCAGTTTTCACACCCTTCTCATAATTTACCACCTTGCCATTTCACAACACACAATTTACCAACACCCTACTTACTACTTAGGTAACTTAGTTGAGCTACTTCATTTTGACTTAAACGTAAACATTTTCTTAGATTTTCTACACTACAGACTACAGAATAATAAGTGAGAATAGTTAGTTAGACTTAGAATTAAGATTTAAAATTTAAAAATAAGAATTCAGAATAAGAATCTAAAATCTAAACTAAATAGACTGAGTGAAATCAGAAATAGATTGTGATTAGGCCTAAATAAAACTTTTTAAAAAAGTGAGTCAGTCTAGAGTCTAGAGTAGACTAAATCCACATCCAGACAAAATTTTATTTTTAAAGTTTAAACTTACTTAAAGACTTAGGGCCCACTAAATTTGAAAAATCAACCGGATATGTTGATTTTGTTGTGCTTTTTAATGAGTATCTTCTTCAGTGGTGTGTGGATGTTATCGTACTCAGTACTGTATTCTAAATCTAGATCTAGATTCTAAATAGATTCGTGACATAAGTTTGTGCAATGGGTTTTTTAAAAAAGATTAGTTAATTCATCTTTAATATCGGGAGTAATTTCCCTTAACAATTTTTCGCTGCTCTTTACTTGTTAGGCCAAGGCCTAATTTATATTGCCAGTTAATATGCAAAATTTAATTATAAAATGCATGTACACAGTGTGGTACAAATATATATAATTATAAGACTATAGAGGCCTATATATATATATATATATATATATATATATATATATATATATATATATATATATATATATATATATATATATATATATAGGCCTATATATATATATATATAGGCATATATATATATATATACAGGCCTTTATATATATATATATATATATATATATATATATATATATATATATAATTATAATATATATATAGGCCTATATATATATATATATATAGGCCTATATATATATATATATATATATATATATATATATATATATATATATATATATATATATATATATATATATGACGAAAACAAATCAGTACGATTTATTTTACCCATCTACAGATTAAATGTCAAGTTCAAATAAGTATTCTTTTATGATAAGCACAGACAACCGCGCGCCAAGCAACCATCGTTTAATTTTTTGTTATTGCTTCCCTTGATTAGTTATCATACTCTACGTTAAAAAAGTTTAAAGGATACACATTTAAAATTTAAAACAAATGTGGTCTATAAAGAACTTCACACATGGTGGGATGGAGGGGGTTTGGACTTGGGTGACAATTGTGCAAGTGTAACGTCTAGCAATTTTAAGAAGTAATTTTATAAATTGAATTTTATAATTTCTCTCTCTTTTTTCCAAAAAAGTAGTAGGCCGAGGCCTATAGCTAAGAAATTGTAGCCACGTCATAATGTATCATTTTTTAAATATAATTTTCTATATACTCCACGTGTGAACGATGTTACTGAACCTTGTTCTTTACTCCTCATGGGGGAAAATGATGATGACCCCTGTCATATACTCCCCAAGTGGGGAAAATGTTGCTGACCCCTTTCCTATACTCCACATATAGGGAAAATGTTGCTGACCCCTGTCATATACTCCACATGCAGTGAAAATGTTGTTGGGCACTATCCCTAAACTTTCCATGGGGACAAAAAAAATATTTCTACAATGGAATTTTTTTTAAAGCCGCTTCAGACAAAACCAGACATATCTGAAGTTAGCTCCAGAGCTTTAAAGCTGAGGGCGCCAGCAAAATGCACGAAGCTCTCAAGAAAGTGTCCATTGATTGACATCAAGCTGTAAATATGATGCCGTCTTTCATCTTCTCGGGGGTAAGGCGACCCGCTGTGCCTGCACGACCCCCAGGGGCATGTTTTTATACGGGGGGGGGGGGACGCCCCCTGTTATTATATAAAAAATGGGAAATGCGTTCATCTTTTATCAAGCGGACAAAAAAACATTTAGATACTAAAATTCTTTTAAACGTCGATGAATGGTATAGACACGGTATAGAAATATTTATATATAATTTATATTTAAATATAATTGCTTGTGTGTGAGGCGAAGAGGTGTGTGTGTGGTGGGGGAGAGGGGGGGGTTAACAAGATATATTGAAAACATTGTTATTTCCTTGGGCAATGAGCGCCTGCACATTGGGTTAAAGGACTTATGTGTGTGGGGGGGGGGAGAGTTTTGAGAAAAACCTTTTCAGATAATTAATTGATGGTGTGACTACATATGTTCATATATATAATATATATATTATATATATATATATATATATATATATATATATATATATATATATATATATATATATATATACTGCATTTATTCACCCTACACGGTCCTCACCCCCATAAGCTTCGCCTCTTGGGCGTAGTTGTATTGACTAAGGTACCTAAATGTGTTCTTTAACATTACTGTGACTGCTTCGACAGTACCTCCCCCTAACTAAAAGTCCCCCCCCCCCCCCCCCCCCCCCCCACCGTCCCCCCCCAGTCTGGATGTGGGTTCACCGCGCATTATCAACTTCCTTATTGATGGAGATTAGGAAGGACCAAAGACATTGGTAATTTTGT